GATGCCTTTTTGCCTTCATGTGATGCGTCTCTCACGACCATGCAATACTTGCCTTGGTTGAGAGTGCTTTTCTCTCCACGCGCCCCGCACCTGTCGGGGGCGCTTGAAGCGCGCGGTCGAGGGGCAACCCTCGGCTGTAACCCTGGCGAAAGAAAGAGTTCGTACTTGTGCATCCCACTTAATATTCGTTGATACCCAGTGACTTTGCCAGCCAAACAGGGGGAGCCGCCCAGTACTAGTTTTGCACGGTTCGTGTTCGCTGTGTTGCTTCAAATCGGGGGACCCCAGACATGCACCCTGTACCATATCATGCCATCAGTGTGGCAGTTTCGAACCTCAAGGTGTAAACTCTTTAAACAGGACCGGGGGATGTCGATGACCCCCTTGGCCCTTCTCAGGTAAGCCCGTTCCACTGGGCCCACATTGGCCCGCAATCCCAGTTTCTTTTCAATACACCATTTTGAGGCAGGCAACGGTAGGAACTCGGGGGACTAGAAGGCCCAAATTCGAGATCTCACAAATCCGTTACATAACCGGGGGAAACCAAGCACGCTTTTCCTTCACCCCTTTTTCATATCGAACCCGCCCGAAAGCCGGGGACGCAGCGCTGCGTGTGTCACTTGGTCGCGGCCTTACCTTCAGTCTTTGTTGTTTGCTTGCTGCGCCGCTGGGGCACAATGACCATACAGTCATTCAAGGGGGGCTTTCCTTTGTAAAGCCGAGCCTCCTATGGGGAAACCGTAGGAGGAACAACGTCGCCCCAGGAACTGCGTGTGCGCGCTCGCGCGCAGGGGCGGGGCTAGACCGCGCTTCTCCCTTTTCCCTGTCGAGAGAGAGAGAGAGAGAGTGAGTGTATAACCCTGCCGAAAGAAAGAGAGAGGGAGTGTGTGTGCGCGTGTGTGTGTGTGTTGCGAACGACATGCCGGGGGAGAACGCGAACATGCAGCGGCAACCTGTGAGATGGACGGCCCTGTATGGAACCACAGAGAGCCAAGAGGGAATCGTCACCGAAAGCGTGCAGGAAGCACTCAAGCTGGTGGGGCACCGACACTCCCAGTGAATGGGAATGACGACAACGGCGAGGGATCCATGGCCACCACAGTTCCATGGCACGCGCCTACACCATGCAGGGATTCAGAGATGCTGGGGGACATCGAAGATGAACTTGATGTCGCAAACTACCAGACTGGGGGGATACAAAGTGAACCGGATGAGCAATCGTCTCACAATGAAGGCGACTCAGTGAGTGAGCGCAGCCACCGATGCCGTAGAATGCACACGGCATTCTATGGCCCCCACGATCCCTACTGAACACAGGGGGTATCGCCGCTACCTGGCCACTGTCACCTCAGTCTGGTTCTCACTCGCTTGACTTGCTGCGGGGGGAGCCACAAGTGGTCACAAGCGCAACTTTGTGGCTCAACACACTCCGCTCCGCCACAAATGCAACTTTCAAGGGAGAAGCTGAGAGTGGAGCCATCAATTACCCCCTCAACAATTCGCAGGCACACACTAGTGCACACACGTGCTCGTCGGGTATCTATCCTGTAAAGGAACGTGTAGTCCCGTGCGTCCAACACAAGCTTTTTCCTGACCCGCTCCAAAACATGTGTCTAAGCGTGTGGGAAGGTGTCGGAAATCGTAGAAAAGTACACACAGTCTCAGAGATTCTCACACTCTTTATCTGAGCTTTTGTAAACCATTCTTCAGTTTTACCACACGTTTAAGCACGTTGCGAAAAACACTCTTTTCACAAATCCCACAAAGCAGACGGCGTCCTACAGGCGCCTTTCAGGGCTTACCAGAGCAGCCTTCACTTGCAATGGGTCTCATGTCGGACACAACAGCAGAAGCTCTGCCCTCAGCGTTGTGCTAGGATGTTGTGACCTGGAAAGGCAGGAAAAAGTGCAGTGTTTGCTTGCATAAACAAAGAACCGCTGCAGTTCGGTTCGGCCCTCAGAGTGCAGTTGCTCTTCCGATGTTTTCTCATGCACCCAACCTATGTACTTGTTTCCTGGGAGCCACAAGACCACAGCGGCGGGTAAGCAGATACAAACAAACCAAGGCAACCTGCTGAACCTGCACTTTCCATCGTGACCACGAGTACAGCCAAGCCCCCGAGAGGAACGCCCGGAGAAAATCCTTCTGCGGGTGTGCGAACTCGCACGGTGGTTGCAGTTGGACCGCTGCTTCCGCCACGCCCAGTAGAGAGGGAGAGAGAGAGTGTGTTGAGTAATGCACTGGGGACTTCAAAAAGCTTCACACTGAGCTCCCGGGAAAGAGCAACAAATTCACTCTGCTGGCTGGACAAGAACACGGCTGCGCGACTACCCAAGCACGCAAGCAAGCAAGAAAGAAAGTTTGCGTGCGGGGGGGAGGGGGGGTGCACGCGGGGGAACTACCCTTTCATGGCTGGGTAGAAGAAGAGAGAGTTTATACACACGGGCTTTTGCACTCAAAGTGGGTAGGTTTGAGCTTCCCTGGCACGTTCATTTCAGGGCAGCTGGAGCGGCTGGTGCACGCCGAGTGTCAGACTTAGCGGACATAGCGGCGGCATGTCAGATTGCTCAAACTGTATCTTGTTGTTGGGCTTGTTATGGCAGGCCTGTCGCAAGGTTTTTCAGGATCGATGTCTGGCTAGCGGCGATCGCCCATTGAAAGCGATGCGGGAAGAGACTAGATTGCTAGATGACTGACCAGCTTTGTCCAGGTAAATTCCCCGGGTCCGGCGTTTGTGCCCTCCTCATTCCTCATGTCTCTGCTTCCTTTCAGCTGATGCCCGACCTTGTTACGCTTGGTGTAGTGAGTAGTGGAGACCCATCTATCGAGGTGCAGCCAGGTGAAGCAGAGAACGCCCATCCAGAAGGCAAGCTGGCCTTGTGGGGAATGTTCAATGTATCGCATTTGCGACCTGAACTCACAGGTCATGGAGACGGCAGCAGTGTCTCGGACAAGTGTGGACAAATCATGATTGACCCATTGTATGTCGGCTTCATAGCTGCGTCGAACGCATCGATGCCCGAGGTCCGAACAGAAAGATATCTTCTCTGAAGAGTCTTTCAGAATCAGGCAGCACTCTGCAGTCGCGCAGAGTTCTTTATCGTCCCATTCAGGTGCACGTTCCGACATTTCCCTCTTCGGAGTGCTATCAGCAAATCGATTCGGAACACTTCCTTAAGCTACAGTAGCAATCCTAGGATAGAATTACACATCCGGTGGAAAGTTGCAAATCTGCTACTGGCTCGGCAAGCTTCTAACAAGAGCAAACTGGCGGCTGGGGCAGGTCATTCTGACCGTCCTTCTGCACATTATTAAATCATTATTATCCTTGATGTTGCTTCATTGCAAGCTACTAGTGGCCAGTGTAGTTTTCGGTTTTGGTTTTCGCATTGCCCTTGTTTCCGAAGTGCAGGTTTCGTGGTATCAGCACCCCAGGCAAAAGGATAACTTCATCACAGAGAATCCCGCGACACCGTCTTCTGCACGAAAGGGTTGTGTGACTGATGGCTGGCAGGCCGGCGGTGAGATTTCAGCATCACCTTGGAATTGCACTTGGTTAATTCACATCCGGTCCCTGTCGACCCTCCAAGAGTGGCTCAGGGATCCACGTGTGGACGTGGTGGCCTCCAGGGTATCCTCAAGGGGACACAGTATAATACTTTTCAACACGACCAGCTTCGGTGGCCTGATGTAGATTTGGTGAGCTCACGGCCGTGGAAAAAGCTGCACCGAACAACGACATCTTTCTCCAGTGTCCTTCTCGCAGAACGGACCGTCTCTTGAGGGTCAATTGCATCCACTTGCCACTCTCCTCAAGGGCAGGAGACCTGAAGGTTTCCTTGCATGGAGATCCGTCCTGGGCGATGGTACAGGACCAAGGTCTCTCTGCACGGAGCAGGAACAGCAATGAAGATCAAGATGTCTCCAAAGAGAGTTGTACCAACGTGCTCGAGTGCTTGCAGAGCAAGCCGCGCATGACATGGAGGCTTCGAGCGGCGTGGCTGCTCGGTTCTCTTGCATTGGCAGTCTGCATCTATGGACCGAGGGTCACTCCAGCACCTATGCTCTTCACAGTGTTCGTAGCGGTTGCCTTGCCAGGAAAGCGAAGTCTTTCCTGTAGCAGATTGGGACTGACAGATGCTCAGCCTTTTCTGTGCCGTGGTCATCTCGCTCGAAACTTGCGCTGGCACTTGCAACGATGGCGGCTGTACGTGAAATGGACAGCCGATCGTGTGGACCAGGATCTGCACGGTGTCTGGCGATGCGTGCTCCCACTTTCACCTCGACAAGCCCTTGCTCGGGCCGTGCGTGGAGAGAGCCGCAACCTTCTCATGTACCACACCGCTGCATCTGCTGGCTTCCTGCTTCCACCGGAGGTGGTTGCATGTAGCCATCTCCCGGAGCCCGGCCTTCGAGCCCACACTGTCCGTCTCTTGAAAGAACGGTGGGAAAGCGAAGCCAAGGACCCGCTGGCATCCATCCCGGAACTGAGTGAAAGAAGCTACAAAGGCACCTGGAGGAGCCTTGCACTTGCATGCATTGCCGTGGGCGTCTGGGAGTAAGCGTGCCCTAGAGAAGTCTAGAGACGTGCTTTGAACTTTGCAACTACAGAGCGGCTTGGGTAGCTCTGCAGCTGCAACTTCCTCTTGTGCGTACCGGAACCTGCGGGACCATGCTGCAACCTGTCTTGGGAAGCCAAAGATGAAAGTAATTCGACACTGTCGCAGACAAGCTTGGTGTCTGCCAGCCTCAGTTCGCAAAATGTTTAAATCATGTGTGCCAATGCTTTGCTGAGCTTTGCTAAACCCATTGACTTGTTGATGGGTTTCCGCAGGGCTTCACATTTTGTGGTGCCAACGAGGGTCTCACCCCGTGTACTGTTACACACGAATTACACACTTAGTTTTTGCTAACACTTCGGTTAGGCTGCATAGCAGAAATGCTACTCGGCCGGTAGCCCAACGTACTGTGGATTAAAGACCGCGGTGAGGAGAAAGTCATGCTTGACTCTGAGTGGTTGTGTGCATTCGACATCGCCGAGCCCGTGTTGAGCCTCACCTTGCCAGCAGGGCTTAAAGGTGGGGACGGACCCGGGCCAGCGAGATGTTTGCAAGGACCGTCCAGCCATGCAGGCTGCGTCTACCTGCAGCCAGGCCACACCTTGGTGAACCGAGCCTTGTACTTGTCATGATTTTCTGCAAGGTTTGCAGCTGCAGGATCGCTTTTTCGAATTCGAGGCTGGCCAAATGTCATACAATGCCTTCTTGTTTGTTACCTTGGTTGCTTGACCATGGCGTAGCAGGTTCTCATGCAGTCCAGAGTCTGCGATTCATCTAGTCTCCAACATTCCTAAAGTATCTCTCGAGTTTTTCTAAGTGTGGAAGCACCGTCAAGCATTCAATCCTCCCCAAGCAGCAGCAAGTCTCGGGGCCCGAACAGAGCCACAGCTTGCATCCGAGGCGCAGACTCCACAAGCGCGGTCACGCGATCGACAGCAGCACCGTTCACGAGGCGAATGACGATGTCGTCAGCTTGCTGTTCAAGCTTTCAGGATGATGGGTTTACGACCAACCGTACTGCTGAGCGAAAAACGGTCCACGTCTTCGGAGGACGCTTGTCGTGACTTTCAGGTCGCCGGCTGGGCAAGTTGGGCGTGGATCAGACAGCTTTGTGCCGAGTGCGCCAGTGCAGAGCGGCAGACGCTTCGGACCCTTTCGTTCTTGCCATGTGCGAGGCTCACACGGGTTCCCCGGGGCAGCATCGTCTTATTCTCGGCTGCGAGGTTTCCGAGAGCATTCCAAGAACGATAAGCCGACCACCAAGGTCGGAGGCAGCTTTCAACCTCGCGCCTGTTGCTGAGACATTTGGAAGTTTGGATCCAATTTCGCTGAGTTGGTGATCAGTCGAACATCGCACCGAGGAGTGGCCAGCAGACAATGAAAGTTGGCGCCGTCCTCGTGCCTATCCGGCTTTTCGTCTGACAGGCAACACGTGCACTTAGCTCGCACAGGTAAGTACAAAGGCAAAACTTTCACGGAGATTTATGCGCAGGCTGATATTTTGCAGCGCTGACGCTGTATTTCAGCATTGTCCGAGCTGCAGGACCCGCAGTATTGCAGGTGGGTGTGCGACATTGCATTGTGCGCGCCTGAGACCCCATCGGAGGCTTGTCCAAATCCACCAAAAACTGGGCTCAGGACGGGAGAGAAGACAACCGATTCGCTCAAGATCTTTGCTGCTTTCGTGCAGCACAGGCCACAGCTGCCGGCAAGAGGCTAGCCTAGAGCAGCGACACGGGCAGGTGGCTTTTAGCCATTCGGGATCTGTTTCGCGAATCGAGACCAAACAGTTTGCGAAGCCATCGCTTCGCCCCTGGCTCAGCTGTGGGTCGGTGGGGTTACTGTTGTGCCCCGCATGATCTGTGGCTTCACGCAGCTTCTTGAGTCTCTGTAAATGTGTGGCCTGTAGTTTGTCCGCAGCATACTCTGCGTGCGACTATCCGCATGATCTTGAACGTTCGTCGTAGTCGTAGCATGTTGAAGAGCGGTACATTCATGCATGGAGTACATGTTGTTGATCAACTCGTATCATGTCTCCTTTTCTTCTCCCCCCTTCTCCCATGCCCTCTTTTAACTACACGGGTACATGCGCATGCGCGTGTACATATGTATGTAGGTAGATGGTTGGGATAACGAGGCATGTACGTATGTACGTACGTACGTACGTACGTACGTGCGTACGTACGTACGTACGTATGTATGTATGTATGTATGTATGTAGGGAGAGGATGGTCGGACTCACCTAGAAGAGTTCGCTTGTTGCCTTAGATCCTCGCCTGATTCGTCGAGCGCGCGTGCCAAAAAATGTATGTAGGGATGTAGGGATGATGTAGGTATGCACGCATGCAGGAGGGTGGGTGGGTGGGCGGGTGTGCATGTCATACAAGCAATCGGTCGTTGTGGGGCGGCGGGCCACTGCGTCGAACTCATGGCTCCTAAATTGTGCGAACGATCTGCCCGCCGTTCGAAACCCTGAGGCCCTGAGAGACCAAACCTGGTAGAATTGAATCATTGAGAGTCGAAAGGAGAAGTTGGGTGGGGAAGCTCTGAGCAGTTGAAACCGCCTATGGAGGTGTTGATGCTGCCGAGTTGCGAGTGGCAATAACCCTGACAAATGCATGATCATGACATGAAACCATAGAGGGAGATGTAAACCTCTCAACGTGATGCTGGGTGGGAAGCCCCCAGCAACGACGCATTCAGTGGTGCTTCCTCAGTTGTTGGTAACCCTGAGGGCCTAAAGAACTACACCCTACAAGGTGCTGTTGGATGCCCGGAGCCCGAAAGATGATGTTCACAATCCTTATGCCTTTGCAGGTCAAGGTGGGTTCGAAGCCTTGGTCAAAAATGGAGGGCAACTATGGGGATGTTGGGAGTGTGGAGCGCTGATTTGCTGTCTGCCGAAGGGTAGAAATGGGTCACCGCTGATGCTGCAACCGATCCCCGTACCTCAGCTGAGCAGGAACTTGAAGCCTGACACCTCCAGCACTCTCGACTGTTCCTGTTTCTGTCTGTTCTCGGATTGGAGCAGGCTGTGACCGGTCAGCCTGACGACATGTCGCACAGAGCTGAGCACATCGTAACACCTGGATCCTGCGCTGGCAGTCAGATCTGAGGCGCGAGCTGCTGGAAAGCTTCATCCGTGTCCTGGGTGGCGAGGCACGAGAGCGACTTGCCTTTCTCTCCTCTCGGGTCCTCTCGGCTCCGTGGTCCGGTAGGTGGTGTCTCAAGCCTGGGCCTCATGACCCTTTCTGGTACCGCAACAATCAGTGTAGCCTCAGGTTGCACCATCTTCCAAACCGGCAGCGACAGGGGTGGTCGGCGACCCATGAGCATCAACTGTAAGAGTAGAGTAATAGTGGGACCTGCGTAGGACTTAGCAGCCACCGTTCTATCGGTATTGGTTTTCGCATTGGTGGAAGAACTGTATAAGCCAATTGTGCAAGCGACCCAGTCTCACGGTCGCTTGCTTCCAGAAGTATCATCGATCTCTTCACCGCCTGTGCAGGACGCCTGACTCCCCAGTAGAGGAAGCGGCCGACAACACAAGTAGTTCGCATACTGATATTTGTGTGATAATGGTCGTGACAGGGCGAAGCGATCCACAAGAACCGTCATTCGAAGTCGCACCCGGCAGCGTAGTCGTAGTGATACGCAGTGCCTGCAAGATGTACCGAGGTAGTGGCTGGCTCTACACTTTATGGAGGAAAGCCCGTGCAGCAAAGCTCGAAGCTAGAGAAGGCTGCCGTGCAAGCCTTGAAAGCCTCGTCGTGGATGTAATTGCACACAGATGGGCAGGCGGCCGCCGGAGGAATACCTGTCCTGACATTGGAGGACCTCCGGAAACTGGCGATTCAGGCCCAGAGCAATCAGAGCTGTTAGAGCCAGAGAAAAAGGGTGCGGTGAGCTCGAAACTGTGGAGAGGCTCCGGAAGGTGAGCCGTGAGAGCGGTGTCGTGATGCGAAAAAGAGTGCACGCTCCAGTGTTGTGTCATGTGGGCATTTAGGTGTGTGCCGTCCTGAAGTTGGCAAGACATTGGCTTCATCATGCAGTGGTCTGGTTTCAACGCGGCGTCTTCATGCATCATCGGCAGACAGAGTGTGCTTCCACCGTTAGCTTCCACCGTTAACCCACTACTACAGCAATCTAGCGGAAGCACATGTTTGCATCGAATCAGTGTGCTCAGTCTAGACTTCCTAGTCCTAGACGACACATGGAGCTTGCAGCGCGCAAGCATGCAGGGAAGCGAGGCGAGTCAGTAATGCCGCGCTTCTGCAGCGCTGGTCGGCTTTGGCTTCGCTTGGCAGGAGAGCTCCTCCAGCGATGCTGACTCAGTCTCGATCTCTGTTTGAAACCCTTGCAGTGACTTGCAGGCCCGCAGCTTCGCAGCCTTGCTGTAATCCCTTGTTTGAGTGTGAGGTTGAGAACTTTGACAGATCTTCGAAGCCTCTGCGTCAACCCGCCGCTTCAAGCTCAATAGATCTTATGCGTGGAAGTTGTCAGTTTGCTATGCTTGAGCTGTATTCTCAGGTAGCGCGGCTGCCGAGTCACAGCAGTGACAGCGACAGCAGTGCAGAGGTCCAGCGTGCCATTGACGAGGTACAGCTCGACAAACACTTCAGATTTTTGACAGTTTTGACAATTGCAGTTTGTTCGCACATTCGGAAGCAGGATGTCTCCGAAAGTTCCAGCGACAGCATCTCCCAGGCACATTCCAACACATCCTTTTGGGACTCCGCCTGCTGTGCTGATCGTGTTTTCATGTTTTGACGAGATGCCACAAGCAAGCTTTCGACAGAGAGGCAAACAGCCGAGCTCGAACTGCCCAATCCCCTCCAGTGTCCAAGGCCACGGCATGCCAACCAACATGGCATAGTAATTGTGCATCGTAGACACCAGTTCAGGCAAGCAGCCCGGCACGAACTGCACAGTCTCCTTCCTCTCCGCATGTAGAGGCGCGAAAGATAGATTTGGGAAGGGCAGCTTGTACAGCTTGTCACCGAGAGTGATGATCCAGGCAGAAAAGCCAAGGGACCGTGACAAAGAGACAGATGGTAGCCGACCTATCACGCTGGAAACAAGCATTGTTCCCAGTGATGCCAATCTTGCAAAGGCCCAGCACCAACGCCTCCAGAGCAGGCCTCGGGTTGGTGACGGTTGGTGCTGCATCTGTGATGCTTCCGGCACAAAGGTGCTCATAGACGTGCCGACTGTGCCGACGCAGAGCGTTGACGTGACTCCAGGCCTTGATTGCAAAAGCTCAGCTCGAAGTTCGCATCTGCCCTTTGCTAGAGGCCAAACGCAGAGAGAGGCGGACTTGCAAAAAAATCCGCCGGTGCTATGACAAGTCTGGTATGCTGTGCGGCCGCAGGAAATCGCAGGAGCGTCGGATGAGCCGAATGAGAGCAGGCTGGCGGGCAACTCGCAAAAGCACCCCATCCGAGTTCTTATGGCATCAGGCCGCAAGTTGCTGGTGCACGAGATGCTGTGCCAGACGTGGCAGAGGCAAAGGGTTTCAGGGTTCTTCCTTTGCTCTCGTTACGGCATGTGGAATGTTTTGAGGAGCTGCAGAGACCGACGGCAGAAGATGTCGCGAGGACTTGCGTGATGTTGTGGTGAAAGCACAGCCTTGCGAGTGCAAGCGCAGGCGCCAAAGAGAGCAGCGATTGCAGACCCGTCGCAGCCGACCTAGCCACCAAAGAAATGTCACTTCAAGCAGCAACGTCGAAGGTTGCCAGAGAAGGGGCAGCAAGGGGTAAAAACAGTAAGTAAGCCAATGAAAGCTAGGCCTGGAAGCAGCTCTTTGGAATTCGCTGTCCGGATCTTTGGCGCCCGTGCATGAAAGCGTGCCCATGGGTAGGCGTGATACATGGCCTGTTGAAGTGAGGTGCATGGAAGATAAGGATAAGCTTCAGAATATGCTGCAGGCCACACTCCCGATCGATGCTGGAATGGTTTCCAAGCTTCAACCCACCAGGCTTGTGAACTTCTTCGCCCCACAGGTCATTGAGGACTCCAAAAGCCAACTTCGTCGAAGTGGTGCTGAAGAAGTGGATCTGCAGTCGGTTCTGGACAGCAAGGCAGCGGCATTTGTGCTTGATGCGACTTGAACTTACTGAGAAGTGGGTACCTGCACAAGCCGCTCTGGCTCAAGCACAAATGCGGATTCTGGCTCTTTGGGCCCGCGCCACATCGCGTCGCGGTCCCTAGGGCCTGGAGCTGAGCCCAACTCACTCAGAGTCGAGGTAAGTCTTTTTCGGTTTTCGTCGAAGTCCGGGCCCCCGTGGCTCGCTTTCTCTCTTTCGCAGGCTCGGAGCGGGTGGAGCCATGCAGGCCATGCAGGCCCGCGGTCGGGGACGTTCTTTTGTCGCCTGAGCGTCGAAGGAGCCCTTGCTGCCGAAGCCCCGCAAGCACTCCATGAGAGCGCGAGTCTACGACATTCTGGAAGGGAAGGCCCTTTCTCATAGAAAATTGTGGAAGGCAATTACCAGTCTATGTTTTTTGCCTTAGGGGCCATACGGATCCACGTACAGCTTCTTGCTGACCATTGTGATTCTGGTGAACATCGCCTCCTTTATGCTGTCTACCGAGCCGAGCATGGCCGAGCACCAGCCACTGTCCGGACCCGGTTATAGCATCCACTGCATATGTTGCAAGCAATCTATTCTTCCCTTAAGGTTTGACAGGATCGAGATGGTGACGGTGTGCATTTTCACCTTCGAGTATGCTGCGATCTTACTTGGCCTTCTGACATTGTGTTGTCCTACTTCTCTTGCCCCAGGTTCTTCGCTTCAGCACCCGAGCAGGGTCATGTCTTGCCCGCATCACGTGGGTCGTTGCTTCCTGAGTCACCGAATTCGTGCGGGCAGCTATAGTTCCTGCATGCTATTCGATGGACACGGACTCATGCCACGCTGAGTTTACAAACTTTTTCTCCATCGTGGACCTCGTTTCAATCATGCCGTTTTATGCGTTGAGCTTGGCAACAGACAGCGTGTGATAAAGCCAGCATGAACGCACGGATGTAGTCAAAAGACAAGGCGGACATTCTGATCCCAGGGCGACAGAACTACTTGGCGACGCAGTGGGTTCGAGTTGCGGGCGGCTTAGACTGCAGAGCAATCAATGCGTGCTCCATCTAACATACATTCCTCCAAGGTGCGGCTCTTGCGCCTTTTGCCGTCGCTGTGAGCAGCTCAGACAGCGGTTCTCCCTCAGTCGCGCAGACAGAATGGTGATGAAAGGCTGAAGCTTGTCCAGCATGTGCATTGGTCATTAGTCATTGATTAGTCATTAGTCCAGCATGTGCATTGCAGCATCTAGCTGGTCGGGCATTGGCGGACGTGCCCACTGCGAACGAATGCTTGCATCAGGTGTCATGGCTGACATCACCTCGGAGTGTCTCAAGTAATCCTACCAGCGAAAACCAGGCCATACGATGTCATCTGGAAGAAGAGCTACAAGTTGCTGATGGCAAGTGGCTTTGCCGGGTGCACCGTCTGGGCTGCCGGGCTGCAGTCATGAACCTGGATCCAGAAGTTTCATCCGTTCCTGCTGCGAGTACATGGGCTTCATCTGCGGTGGTGCACTTCTGCGGCACCCGTTGTTGGCACACGTCGGCAAAACGTGAATGCTTCCGGGGAATACTGGAGCTGACCCCATGTACCCTGATGGTAAACCAAGCATAAGGCACGTTCAGGCCATGTGTGTTAAGCATGCCCTGAGAGCAGGGCAACTTACTCTTGCTGAGCCAGCCAGGTGATCTGTGCAGCATTGTACTACTGGTTCGAGAAAGACAATGCAGACATGATCTATTGTCCAGTCGCGTCCTGAGTTTCCTCGTTGTCATGAATTCCTTACCCTGGTACAACCTGGATGAGGATGAAGATGGCAAGAAAGAGGGCCTTTGTTGGAACCGCTTTCATTCCATCCCTGCAGCAATGCCAGCTTTCAGCATGAAGCTAATCACTGTCCCTACTGTGTTGTGCTGCAGTGATTTGAAGGTATTATTCGCTTCTGAACTTCTTCGGAGAGTTCCCACTGGCGGACAAGCATTCACTCGGTGGAAGATTCGTGGGCGGTTTCATTCAGGTCGGTGTCACGACATTGCACGTACAATCGTGACCCTGATGCACTTCGGGCTTTTCAGGTCATGGGAGCAGCCGTGATGGCAATTCCCGCTGGAGCACTTGGCAATGCATTTTCCGAAGTTGTGGAAAAGGAGCTCTCTGCAAAGGAGCAGGACGTTTGCCAAACCGTGCCTACTCTTGCATCGTCCAGAGCACCCCTGGAAGAAACCCAACTAGCTAAAGCATGCTTGCTTTGTCGTCATGCGACCCTGGCCGGGAGGACCTAGCAGGTGGAGTAGATGACGACTCCGTCGCAGACGCCAGTCGCAAGGTTTTCGGATTTGCGGGGTGCAATGCTGGTGCACGTTTTGAAAACTTTGCAGGCCGAGGTCGTCCGCTGCCTTGACGGCGAGCGAGAGGTAGTCGCTGGCGCGATGCGGGCATAGCTGGCTTCAAACTTCCTGCAGGTGCGGACCTATCGAGTAGCCGACGTAACTGTCGACATGGCAGACCTTTGGTTCTCGCTGCTGGCAGCGTCCTTCAGTTGGTGCTCCTTTGGCTGGTGTGCAGCTCTGCACTTCAATATGCAGACGAGGCATTTCTGGTGACGACGTCATCGGCTCACTTCATACTAGGCACATTGCCATGATGCCGTCGCAGAATGGAATGTCACAGCTTGTGCAGGGACTGTGCACAACTTGCCCGTGAAACTGGACGAGTCCCGACCTTTCCAGCCATTTACGAGCAACTACAGTAGCTGCTTGTCCGCTCCGGACGTTGAGGTTGTTCTTCCTTTTATACGCCTTCGATGTCCTAGCCACGCTGGTTTTCTGCGTCTGGTGCCTCAGGAAACGGGAGGTCGAGTGACATTCTTGGGGGCTTGCGGTGCCTGCAACACCCGCACCCCAGGTCGAGTATTTCTTCAGGACATCTTTCGGCCCACAAAACTCACAAAACCGCAGTTTGGCACTGACATCGCCGTTCGGCGCAGCCGGAGCCTGGCAGGATTTGCTCTGCCAGGGCACCTGCTCGGTACTTGCTGAGCGGTTTCGGCGTTGTTGATGGCTTGCCGACACCTCAGCGACTAGCCACGGGCTAGGCAGGCACCTGGAAGGCGCTGGCCTTGCCCAGGAGTGCAGTGCTACCAGCTGTTAGCTATGCCCGTGCCTGAGCCGACTTGCCCGGCATGCAGTAGAATCACAAGAGAGCTTCTTTGGATCGAGCTTTCTGCGAAGGTTTATCCACGCCCCTTGTTTCGGGCGTTCACGACTCTCAGAGTTCTCAAGCTGGACTCACAATGCCTGTGAAGCTTTGCAACGAACACGTGCGCAGCCCCGCAGGAGCGGTACATCGGTGCCTTCGGCACTTTCAAAAACATCCTCTATCAGAGCAGGCCTTTCAGCATTTCGGTGTTTATCGGTGCAGATGGAATGAGTCAATGGGACTAGCGCGTTTAGCGTCGAGCTGTGCCTTGACACGCCAGGTCCGTGCTGTTTGTGACAGGAGGGGCTGCTGCCGTTCTGTGGGTGCCACGCCGATGAACGCCATCAGTTCAGCGGATATAGCTGACCAGCGCTTGCACCGGTCCAGGTCATCTTTAGCACGCTGATGTACTATGCCGAGCGGTACAACCCGGACCCTGACATGGCCGGCACCTTGCAACAGCACAGCGGGGCCTTCGGCACAGTGCCACTTTCTTGGAGCAAAGTCAGGCCGGGCATTACTCGAGCGTCGCCACGTCCATGCGGCTCCCCTGAGCGTTTTGCGGGATAGTCTCCTTGCTGTGCAGAGATGAAAGAAACTCAAATCTGGTCTTCTCATCCGACTGAGGTGGGTGACTCTTCTGAACCTGTCAGGGGAGGCCCCACTCTGCGAGTACACGCCGGTCTTGCCCCGAAGGCTCTTTCTGTGCTTTTTTGAATGGACCAGTGGAACTACTGAGGTCGGGAAGTTCATTTCTGCTCTGATGGGCCGCTCGGCTCAGCCCCAGCTCATGCTCAGGAAATTGGGGCACATCGTTGCAGGATTGATCGGCGTGGGCTTCGTGACGATCCCTATGGGCTTGCTTGGTTCTGGCTTTCAGGACTACCTGGAGCAGGAGGACTTGTCACACCAGCTGCTCAGCTCCTCACGGCGGGCCGCGTTTGTCGAAATTGTTTGAGGACGACGACGATCCTGTTGCGAAGCCAGCAGGTCTGGGCATTTTGCTCGCTCTTCCAGAGTGTGCCGGGAAGAGCGAGTGCTGCGAGGGCAAGCAAAGCCCGAGAGCGAGCAGAGCGAGCGCTCGTTCCGCATGGATCCTGGATTCAGCCAAAGGAACGCTGGGAGTTTTCAGAGCCCCGTTCGCTGCCTTCGCCGCCTTGAGGTCAACTAGTGCACAAGTTCTTGCAAGGCTCAGCATCGAACCAGGCCAGAAGTCCCAAATGGGAGCCTGCAGATGCGAGTTGAGTTCAAAGGTGGAGGACCTGAATGCTTGGGAAGCTCGTGCGGTTTACTTCGAGCGATGCATTTTCCTGGCCATCTTCGTGCCCTGGTGCAGACTGAGCATGCAAAAAGTAGAACATGTAGATCCGAGAGTGGGTCCAAGGTCACTGTTCTTGCCGCCATCATGGAGCGCCTTGTGCATTCTTCCACTTGACATTTGATAAAGCCTGCTGCCCATTGAGCTGCAGGAGACGGTGGACGGCTTTGCACCATCAGGGTCCTTGAACCGTGATGTCCGGGACTTGCGCCGCGGGGTCAGACTTGCAGTGTCGAGAAGGGTGGCACAGAGTTCCGAGGCATTGAATTTCATTGAGATAACGGCCACACTTCTCTTCACAGTGGAGTACGGACTGCGATATTACACGGCGCCGGAGGCAAACTCATGTCTTGTATGACAGCAGTGGGAGCGGAAACCGTTTGAGAGCGACTGCAGTAACTTGCACAATTCTTATTGGAGGTGCCATATTGGGCAGAACAGGGATACGTCGGCATCTGATTAGATCCGCACCTCTGCAGTTGCCTAATTCGTGATGCGTAAATGCTGCAGGTGAGTGACAATGCGGCCAGATTCGGATTTGTAACCTCGCTCCCGGCATTGATAGATCTGACAGCAATTGCAGTCTCCTCAAGACGGCCTGTGTTGGCTCCATAATCATGCGTACCTCTGCAAATTCGACAAGGCACCCTATTACCTTGCTCTTTGCGGATCGTCTGTGGCAGACCGTTATGACGGAGAGCTGCGAATCCCGGCTGCGCATCCATCCGTCTCCCCGTCTGAGATGGCGATTTAATCTGCCAGCCTGAAGCGTCCCGAGGAATGTTACGAATTTTCCGTTTGCCCTGCTCTCAAGTCGGGCTTGCTGCGAGTCGCAGTACTGTACTGAGTTCTTCCGTGGCTCTGGCATGAGGTTGACGCTGGACAAGTATATTCCTTCCGTGCCTGGCACTCATTCATACAAGGGATCGGGTAGTGCAGAGTGCCCAGGGTGGATGACAAGGCGTTCCGAAAGATTGCTCTACGTTTCCTGAGGGTGTCTAAGAATCCACAACCGCCGACCCCTGCGTGCATAAGCTGAGGTCCCTCATCGGCCGTGTGTTCCGGAAGCATTCCAAGGACACTCCCTTTCTGGCTTTTTACCATGCTCTTGGGCTGACAGCCTAGGAGTTTCAGTTGGCTGCCTATGCCGCTGCGGCGTCGCACGCTCAGGGACCCCAGGTTCAGCAGCAAAAGGTGGGTTCGGAAGCATCGAGGATTTGGCTGATCTTCTCTGCCCTCATGTGGCTCACCGAGCGGCATGATCCGACACAGGCATAAAGAATTGTGTGAATAGCCATGGCTCATCTCCAGCAAGGGATAGTTGCCAGGTTGACGACCTGACCATGGGTCAGCGATATGGCAGCATGCCAGAAGCCATGTCGTGCTCTCATGTGTTGTTGGATCCATGCCGTGCCGAGTCGCGTCGATTGTGTGATGCCCGGTTCGTGGGACCTTTTGGGGACTCCTTTCAGGCCCTACACACTGGTCCACCTGACAGGCACATTGCCTAGTAGAAGCTCGGCATGGGCCGTGACAAGAAGTAATTTTGCAGGAGACTATCCGTTGATCGATTACGACTTCCCTGCCAAGTGCGTTCTGTTTGTTGCCTTGCTCTTCGCTGTCGGGGTCAGCCGCCAAGTGTATCATATGCTGCCATTTGCTTTCCAGTAGAAAGGGGCCATGGCAAGATTCATTTCTTTTGTGTGTCTTTGTGCGAGTGCTAGCCCCATCTGTTTAAGCCGACCTACAGACACATGCCTATCCTCGAGGTTGTAGCAGTTCCAACAGGCTTGCTTGCATCGGGCTTTGCACAGGACATTTTGGCACCTGAACGACACACCGGCACTTGTAACTGTTTGTTGCAAAGCTGGAACGGGCAGTCCACCCTACAGGAGCTCACGAAGTACCGCGAAGAGCAGAGACGGCTGAGAGAAGAAGCTGCTACAAAAATCGAGAAGGCAAGAGGAACGCCATGCCTGCATGCGGCCAGCACTCCGTGTTGCTGGGAAGGCACTTCGGCAGTACATTCGAAGACGCCGTCTTCGGCAGGTTGCTACCCGCGTCCAGGCTGTGACGGCTGTGACCTCTTCAGGCAGTCCATCTTTAGGCCCAAATGCACTAGGCGCAGAAGACAGTGTTGCGCGAGTTGAAAGACAAAGCTTTCAAGGAGCAGGGCTTGTTCCTAATGCAAATGGGCTCGCACTTTCAACAGAAGCATTCCCATCCTTCTCATGCGCAAGAGAGCGAGGACAACCCTTACAAGCTGCGTATGGTCAAGTTCCTGGAGCAGAAGACGACCGCCGGCCGTTTGTGCAAGAAGGCATCAATCCTGAGTTGCCTCGATTGTGCAGCTTGCTGGATTGCTTACCTCAGGCGATGTTCCTCCTGATCATTCTCAATGTGTTGGCTGTGATTGCCGAGAGCATGTCTTGGGTGAAAGAGGCAGCCTGTCCTCGATCTCGCACAGGACACGTCTGCCTGCAGATTTACAGAGTCTCACAGGCAGCAGGAAGCTATGTCCTCAATGGTTTCGAGCTCTTCAGCGTGCTGGTCTTCACCTTCGAGTACTCAGCGAATGTTTGGAGCGCGCCCGCAAACAGCAGGCCGAAGTTCCAGTCAGAGCACACCGATTCTGCAGCACCTAACATATCTTGCTTAAGCGGTCTCCACTCGGTCTTCACCATGCATCTCGAATACGGGGCACGCGCGTTTGACTACATGATGGTCTCCCCGGTTCATTCCGATGCCGCAGCTTGAAACAAGTGGCTTGTCCCTACATCGGGGTCGAATCCGAGGTCCTGGGTACTACAAGCGGCGCTTTATCTCGAGTCGCTGGTTTTTTACGTCGATCGGCGACCAACGTGGAAAATAAGTAATTCTCAGCGCATATCTGAGGTTGTTGCAGAGTTGCTTTCTTAGCTGCTTAGCGTCTACTGTACATGGAGCTGCGGCATGTTGGAGGGGGCAGCGACTGGTTGTCAGATGTTGTTAGCCTCGTTTACCAGCAGTTGTTTTTGAAGCTTGCGAAAATCCAGCCTCTACATGGGGAATGGCTGGTTTTGATTTACTATTCGCTGCGATGCTACTGATGTATTTCTCTAGCTGGGGCTTGCAAAATCGAGCGTCTACATGGGGAATGGCAGGTGTTGATTTGCTGTTTGCTGCGATGCCGCTGATGTGTTTCTTGCGCGGGTTCTTGCGAAATCGAGCGTTTACATGGGAATGGCTGGTGTTGATTTGAAGTTTGCTGTGATGCCACTGATGTGTTTCTTGAGCGGATGCTTGCGAAAGCATGCGTCTTCTTGCATCGCTGGTATTTTTCACATCGACCAGGGTCCACACTGAGGGAATGCAGCTCTCAGTGTATGCCGTAGCAGACTTGGTGTGGATAGGCGTCCACACTGCGGGAATACAGCTCGCAGTGCGCATCTGATGTTGTAGCGGAGTTGGTGTCTTTGCTGTTTTGCCAGCTTCTACATGGGGCTTGTCGTCGATGCGGTCATGCAGAGTCGAAGGGTTTTCAGAGAAATACAGAGTTTACTAGGCGTTTAGAGAAATGCAGAGTTGAAGAGGCCTTTCCAGAGAAGCACAGGGTTGAACAGGTTTTGCTATCCTTCACGTGATTTCTGTCGCAAGATATGACTTGGCTATGTCGAGCGTCACCATGGGTGATGTGACTTTCAACGCGTTGATGCGACTTAGGGCGCCTTTCGACGGTCAGGGCTGAGAGCTGAGTGTGAAGGGTCCAGGGTTGGGGCTGTTTAAGTTTGAGTTTTGAGCTGAACGAAGGATGAGTTTGAGCTTGCGAGAGGGCTGGAGGAGCGTTGCTTTTAGCTTTACATCGAATGAGAGATTCCTGAGTTGATGTTCTTCTAGCGTTTGCATAGTGATTCGCTGATTAGCTTCTGACACAAAGTAAACATGCTGTTACTGCAAAAGCGCACCCAAATGCTGGCGTCCGCAGCAAATCCGGCAGTTTGACCCATGGTTGCTGCTTGCCTAAATTCGGGGATTGTTTTGCCCTGGTGTGGGATTTCGGCGCCGATCTGTATTTCCGCTACGTAGCGTCCAGCATGGAGCGTGGCTTATTCTCGCGACCTGACTTGACATAAACCCGCCCCTCGAAGTTTTGCTGCACTGCCGACAGCCCGGAAGAGTTTTCCCCTGGTGCGCGGCCATTGGTCTCGCATTTCACATGAGTTTGAGCCGTAGGCATCGAAAAGTTGAAAAATGGCTGTAGGCATCACCAAGCTGGACAGACATCAAAAAGAAAATGTGCTTGACACCCCTCCCCCCAAGAAGAATCCAACAAAGCGGGTGGGGAAAAAGAAGAATCGGGCGCAATCGTGGCCCATGAAGGCTTGACCCCTTTCGTGCTGCATTGCTTCTGAATTCTGAGTTTATTGCCACCGAAATAGACCCGGATGCAGCCGCGACATGTGAAGCCATACTAGTAGGAAGTTTGGACCTTTCGTGTGCTGCATTGTTTCTGGGTGTTGGGTTCTGTTATGCGCAACAGACCTGGAGTCGTAGGAAGCGAACGCTTCTGTCTCCATGTCCTCCACGGGTGTTTTGCGAACAGCTCTGATGACCAGTCAGGCTGTGGTAGTCATGTGTCATGTAACTTAAACTGGACCCTTCCCTGCAAGCTCCGTGTACATGCCGCAGGTATATGTTTTGCCGTTGCCGCCCCAGCTCCCATTTGTTGTCTTCGCTTTTGTCGCACGGGCTGGCGATTCAAGCCGTCTGTGGGCGCCATTCACCCGATGTGTGTCCAAGGCAGGAACTACGTTTGCTCTTTCTTCGGTATTGTTGATCTTGTGACTGTCGCGCCGTTTTGGATACAGCGCCACGGCTGCATGTGCATTAGTGTCAGAATTGCGTGTTGATTTCTTCGGCAGCCAACGTGTGGCCTTTCTCTGTGCAGGACGGTGATGTGGCTCAGTGGGTTGCAGGCTAGCTTGCAGATCGCCGCGCTAAAAAGTAGTCTGCTGTGTCCTGCATGCATCACCGACCCTGCTGGTGATCACCCTGAAAGTTCAACGCATTCGTCTTCCGCATCGCGCGTCTACTTCGCATTCTCCAGCTGGAAGATTTCGTTGAGAGCTTCACGCTGCTGGATGATGCCTGGCGCAGCTGCAGAGAAACGATGGTTGCAACCGGGCCAGCCCCTGACAAGCTTGCACAGAAAAAGATGGCATTGGACTTCGGGGGCACGGCGTGCTGTTTGACCCAGGTTCATGGCACTGCTAGTGTGGATATGTGGTGCGGTGCTCTTCTATGAGTTCGAGCAGGCACATGCCTCCTTAAGTCGTCGTTTCAAGGAACAAGTATGGAACGAAGGACAATCCTGCCATGGATGGTGCCTTCAAGGACAGTGTCGGTCTCCGGGTCTGCCCTCATCCTTAACTATCGTTATCATACCTTTGATGTGGCAGTTGCAGCCATTGAAGGATCTTCCGTCCAGCATGTGCGCCCCTGGTGTTCTGCACTCCACTATGCAGCACGTGCTTTTGCTGGGGTCAGGAGGTTGAAGAAGAGCCAACCCGAGGTATTTTACCATCATCTTTTTGGGCGGGGAGTGGGCGATGATTGATTTTACTTCAGGCGCATATGCTTACGTACTCATCGCAGGAGCATGTTCAATGTTCTAACCCTCGCGCAGGTGGAAAGATTGTCTGTTTAGTGTACTGTGCGCAGTTCTCGGCTTTCTTGTGGTGAGACATGGGAAGTTGAGCTTGCAATCTTCGAAAGCATGAAGCCCGAGGTTGTTGGTATCGGGCTACTTGGCAGCCAGCCTTCCCTTGCCAGTTCAATGGCACTGATGCGCTGCAGGGTTGCGGGCTATTCAACGTTCCTGCAGGCTGTATGGCATCCCTATCGGTGCCGTGTTCGAGGCATTCAGCGACGTCCTGGCAGCTGTGGGCTCAGGACGTGCAGCTATATGGAAGAACACGGTGCAGCACCGCTAAGGACAAGGAGGACGAGCAGGACGAGTCTGCGGAGGCATGAATGGTCGCGGAAGCGCTCCAGCACCGTCAGCATGATGCCGACTTGGTCCTGAGTGAGTTCAAAGATAACTTGCACGTCTCACTCACGTTTTAATTTTCCGATTGACAGGAGAGGGAATCGGAGAGAGCGAGAGAGCTTTTGCACTCCATCTCGCCAACCAAAAACAAGTGCTAAGTCCCAAAGTCATGTCCGACAGTGGTCAAACCATAGGTCTGCTTCCCAACCGCCATCAATTGTGCATGGTCGGAGAAGCCATCGATTCAGATTGCGACTTGTGCAACCGGAGCACAAAAAGCCTCGAGTCCGGGTGCTCCTGCAGAGTCTGAGCCATCTTCTGCCATCAGATGTCACTCAACCAGGACCCAGCATGTCAAGACTTGCGCCGTCGACTGGAGAAAGCTGAGCAAGAGGCAAGGCATGGCAAGCTAGGGAGATTTGGCTTGCACCGAACACTCCGAAAGCAGGCTCGGCTGGCAAGAGAGCGGGAGTTGCCTTCTCAGTTGCCCGTGCAGCCTAGGGCCTGTGTGTCCGGATTTCGGCAAGCTGCTGAGAAGAGATCCGACGAGACATGCAGGGCTTCTAGTCCAGATGCCAATAGCACGCCATGAGAAATGAAACTTTAGAATCCAGTTGAAGGACCTTTCCGACATTACGCTTCCAGCCCTGAATTCTTGCTTGAAAACACTGTGATCCTGGGTTGCGCATGCCGAACCGTTCAGAGCCCAAAGACTTGAGGTTGCAGGCTCTTTTCTCCACCTTGGTTTGTTCCTGGATCGCCTTAGCCGCGGCGCTGCTGCACGCAACATCGTCAAATGTTTCACACACTGTTTGGGCAGCCACCGCGTGCAGAACGACGCAAGTCTCAAGCAATGAGCGGATCGTGCAGAAGGCCTCGCGCACCCAGCGACTTACCGACAACGGCCCTCAGCTGAGAATGGCTTCAAAGCTCGACGCGGCGGGAGGAGCATACTGCGGTCACAAGGAAACTTTCAAATTATGCAAAGCCCGAGAAGGCAGCGACACAAACAGGAGTATCGGGAGCAGATGCTGAAAGTGCAAACTCGACAGGAAGCGTAACCACCGGAATGCGGGCAGGGTGCCACAACTGGAGGAAGGCGAAAGACGACTTCTTGGCCCGATCGCAACACACGGCCCAAATCTCACAACACTGCCTCGGACATCCGCGGACCTTCCCGGCTTTCGTCACACCTGTAGCAGTGCTCCAAGACTAGGTGCCACCGCCAGGGAAGGTAGAAGATGCAGAAGCAAAGGACTTCAGGGTGTCAGCTTGGAAATGAGAAATCGCGAAGGAGCCAACGAGAGGCGAGCAAGACCTTGGGTAGGATCTACGAGCATCGCTCAGGCTACGCAGCATTGACCAGATCACTCGCTGGGACTCTTCCATTTTTCACGTCGACATGTCTAGGGGCCGATTCATGAATGTTCGCTGCATCCTTTCTGTCGTGAAGGACAGCAAGCGGTTGCACTGCGAAGAGGCATGTCTCGAGCTGTTGCCCACACGAGCACCTTCCACCCACATCACTGTGGCTCAGAGGCCAGCGAGGGTGCAGCGACCCGAGCCGCGCATGTGGCTATCTAGCTGTGCTAGCAGTCTTGATTGAATACCCCACCAGCTCAAAGGTGGAATTGTTGCGCCTGTCCTTGGACAACGTAAAGGCAAGGAGTCGTGAAAAGTGCCATGACGATACACTTGGAGATCGTAGATAATTCTGGCAAGCGCAGAGGCTGAGCTAAAGCGGCTGGAGCATGAAGCCTGCACCTCGTTAGGGTTCGCCGGGAGGGCCTGTTCGGAGTAATTCTCCCTGTCGCATCCGACAAAGGCAGAGCCAGGGCGCTCCTGGCTTCATAGTCTTCGTGAGAGGCAGATGGCAAGTCAGGACTGCTTGAGGTCTTCGTAGATCTTCGTAGATTCAGAAGTCAGAGCCGAGAAACCTTGGCAGGAGAATGCCAGACTGAGCGCCTCTCGCTTGACAACTCTGAAGGCCTTCACTGGACCGTGTGACGGTGCGTGAGAAGGAAGCTTCTTTCGTCTTCCTTCGTGCAAGGCTCAGTATCCGCAGCGCGCCGGGCACTAACTGGACGTGTCCTGAATGTCACGTTCGTTTCCGACTACTAGTTGCTGACGAGGTCGCAGAAATGAAAGCGTCACAGGCTGCCATGGCACGTTTGCGCTTGACGATGAAAGATATCTCCGATCCGCGCAGAGAACAAGCAACGGCAGAGAACTTGCCGCGCCAGGTGCAAGAAATCGCAGACCTACGCAGTTCGCAGGCTGAGGCAGCCGTTCCCGCACCGCACACACAAGGTGACATGTACTTGGTGTCATCATTGTCTCCAGGAGCTTCTGAAGCTGGAAGTTGATTGGACGACACAGGCAACCCCCAGTGACTTGCAGACGTGCTGGCATAAAGCTCGTCCAAGGCTATTAACAGATGTAACAGCAGGGCTTACAGCCCCCCCCCCTTGACAAGCCTCCATACAGAGCTTGTAGAAGCATGTAGAGGCAAGGATTCGGAGGGCTGAGGCTGAGGGCTTCTTTTGCAAGCTTTTGAAGCTGTTCGCGCATCGTCGGCCCCAGCCTGCGAGATCGTCACAGCCACCCTAAGCACGCTGCATAAACCAGTGGCCCGGCACCCTCAACCACATGCATACGACCGACACGTCTTCGGATCCTCGGAGGTGGTCTTTGCCATGGAATTGAGTCCAACATGTGCACGATTGCCTTGATGTGGGCAGTCCTTTGCCTGCTAGGCCACTTGGCCAAGCTCTGCTATTCAACGAAGCCTCTACCTGCAAGTCAGGATGACTTCTTTGACCTGCTTCCAATCGAGTACCCTTTTCAGGCACCGGAGGTTGGGATCGACCCTGTGGCAGGACGGCTTCTAAGAGCTTGTGGCAGTCTTCAAAATCTGACAGCTCTGGCCATCGCCGCGTCGCAACTTCACAGTTTCAATGTCAAGCCCGATGGCTCCTATGATCTGACACTGCCCCAGTTTGACCTGGAGTTGAATAGTGCCGAAGTGTCTGAGCTTTTGGGGACGTGCCGGCAGTTGTTCGACAGCTATGCCCAGCTGGCAGCCTTAGACTTCGAGGTACAGCTCCGGTGCAGCGGTGAAAGTTTAAACTGTGCTGCTCACTCCATGGCGGTCCTCCGAAAATCATCAGATCTCTGCCAAACTGCGTGCCATGATCACCACTACGGCGACTACGCCATGAATCTTCTGACCATTTCCGATGTCGCCGAACGCTCTGCTGCCCGCATGTGTTCTGTTGTCGTGGGCTTCTGCCAATCTCTTCAAGAGAGCCAAGCTGGGGTGACCGGCTTTGCGGGCTTTGCTAGGCAAGCTGCAGCCGAGATTCGCATATTTCTGGATCATGCCTTCCATGTTCTTTCGTTCTTGCCTATAGGTTTGCGTGCCTTGCAACCTTTCTCGGATCTACTGGAACATGGCTCCCCAGCTTTTCGGCATGTTCCAGTCGCCGGCTTGCGTTGGGATGTCCTCCTGCACATTCTGGGAAGTTTCGGCGCCGCAGAACGTTCCAGAGGCCTTCGTGTAGCTGAGATAGGGGTCGAGAAGGGCATGACCGTCACCTTCCTGATGAAGCACGAGCCAGCCATCGTGGACTATTATCTGGTGGATCCCTGGCATGTCCCAGGCAAGTCCCAAGAAAGCAATGGTGTGCTCCAGTCGTACTATGAAAACCTGGAAGCCTGGTCCAGTGAGGAGCCAGCTTTCCAGCGCAATGGTCGCAAGGCAGCCCACGTCCTGCGCCAGAGTTCAGAGGAAGCAGCAGGCCAGCTTGGCACCGACTACTTTGACCTGGTCTTCATTGATGCAGAACATACATTTGAAGCTGTCCGCCGAGATATTCAGGTCTGGAAACGTCGAGTGCGACCCGGTGGTATCCTAGCAGGTCATGACTTTTCTTTATTCCACCCCGCAGTTTCTTTGGCGGTTCTGGTGGAGTGTGGACCGCTGAGCGATGATACTGGCCGCTTCCCGCTGCAGTCGGAACTGGAGAAACCCATCATCCACCTGTCTGCAGATTCTGTCTGGTGGGTGCGGAGAGCTTGAGCCACTGACCGGCAAACGAAGCGGCGGCGCGGCTGTCGCCAGCAGTTGCCAGACGCTGTCGGCCCTAGCACAGCGAGTGCAGATGGCGTCTTGGGGGCGACCAGAGGCTATGCCGGATAAAACCCTCGACGATTGGATCAAGTAAGTGTCCCTTCTTCATTCACGCACCCATGCATGCATGTATTCAGTATTCCGTATTCCATGAACCCACTTCTTGCCCCGAACGAATAGGCACAGGCCCCGTCAGCCAGGCGGGGGTTCGGGTGTGTGTGGGTGTTGCAGGGTGTAACCGGAGGTTCGGGAAGCGAAATGCCGTGCTTCCGACGGTCCCCCTGCTTGGGGGCAATGTCTGTTTCGCTCTACGTGAAGGCCAACAAAATGCAGATTTGGCTCAAAAACTGGCACGGCGACAGAACTCGAATCGTGTTTGTTTGGATGTGTCGGTTCTCCATTGGAACGTCACTTGGGGTCTTGGAAAGAGCAGGCCGACAAGATCATGGTTGCAGCTTTTAAACTGGAGTTCCGGTTGCGCACTCGGCAACACTGCACATTGGCAAGATGGATCTGATGGGATTGGGCACGCTATGCCCGAGGAACACACGTGCTGTGGTCATGCTTGAACAGATACGATACGTTCTACGCGAGCCCAGATCATGTCTGTGTTAGTCACACCCCAACGATAAGCTGAAAAAGAGTGCATCGTTGTCGAGCGCAACTTTCGCAGCTGGAATGTGCAATGCAGCATCACATGCGCTGACGTGGTTCCACTTGTTTGCAGCAATTGTCTGCTGCGCCAGGGCTGCCCCCCTCAAACTCTTCAGCAGTTTGACGGAGTGGATGCCTTCGTCAACTTTTTTTTCTAGTGCAATGGGATTGGGGTAGTGCTCAGTGAAATGGTCGTTGAAGTTGCAGATGCTTATTGTCGCTTTCGTAGGAGGGCATCAGTTGAAATCGAGCGCTATGTGAAGCGTTCTTATATTTCCGTATGGTCCATGTGCAGAAAGATGGGAAATGATATGCCGTAACTTGTCATGGATGTGGTGCCCCCAGGCATCGGAGGGGTGTTGGTCAACTGATACCTCTCGTAATCCTTCAGACAGCAATTAATGGTTCAACCGTGGATACAGGAACAGGTCAAACCAGTACCTTGCCAAACCGTCAAAATTCTTGACCAAACCGCGCAACTATAGCACCACCCAGCCTACCATGTAGGTAGAGGGTGTAGAGGCCGGTCGAGGGCAGTACCCCCTGGGGCCTCATGAGATATGTAATTAGGTATTATTGATATACATCAGCCCTTTGCAGCAATGTGGGCAGCCATTGGTTTCATGTTTCATTGATTATTAGTGTTATTGGACTTGGTATCTCCTGCGACGCATGCATAGAAAATTGCTAGGGCTTGACGGCTTGACGGGCTTGGCTTGATGAGGCTTTGATGTACGCCAGTCCCCTGCAACACGTGGGGCGACCATCGCTGTATTCGTGAGTTTTACGTGCAAGTTGAAGTAACGTGTTATTGTGGGAGTGTGGTTGCATGGTTTCGCGGAGTGGTCTGTGATCAATAGTTAAGCCAGTTCGTTTTCAATGGTTGCTTGGTCAAACAGATGTGCAAGGCTTCGTCTGCAGCACCACATCGGAGCGAAACGAGAGTATTTGCTTCAGAGTTGGTTTGTAAAGTGAAGCTGTTCATCAAGGTTGCTACTGCCATGATTTGCCGTGTTTGGTTTGGGAAAAGTGGCGGGGACGGGATAAGGCTCGGTCAGGCCCTTCGTCTCGTTCGGTGTTCGCTTTCGCTCGGGGTACCTCGGGATGTTAAAGCAGCAGCCCTGCCCGAAACTTTGTAGGTTGTCGTAGTCTTGATGCGACTACCACCCGAAGCCGAAGACTCGCTGGTCCTGCCCAGCTGCGACTGCAAGTGACAGAAGCTTTGCAGGTGTCAGACATGAAGTCCAATCATTCCGAGGATGTCCGCAGCCGGACACTCACAGTTGTCAGTCAGTTGGTACGCGTAGCTCGCTCCCGTCAGCGCATCCTAGGTAGGCAGGTAGGGGGAACGGAAGTGGAGAGCCGTGGGAGACGTTTTTTTGTCCGGCGCCAGGCTTGAAGCAGAGCTTGGAGGAGACGACACGCCGTTCCCAGAGGTCCCGGGCGACAGCCCACATCTCCTGCGTAGATGCCACAGCTGCTGACAAGGATGACCCGTGATCGGGATGATGCACGTGAGCAAGCTGTTGCGAGACAGCGAGAGGCCGTGGCAGCTGCCTGGGTACAAGTTTCAGCCACGTTTTTTGGTAGGGGCAGCCGGGCACACAAGAAAGACATCGCGACCTGAACCAGCTACCTGCTACCTAGATCACACATATATATATATACACACACACACACGCATATTTCTTTCTTTCTTTCGTGAGGCTGAGAGTCCGAGTCGAACGCGCCTATTGCAAGGTATGAATTCAGAAAGCAGTATGCGCTCATGTGCAAGCAGCACACGGCGCAGAAATCTGCACTGAAAGGCATCGAGAGAGATGGACCCAGTGCCGGAAAAGCTGTCTCTGTCGAACTTCATACATACAGAAAAACAAACGTGCATGTGACCACAGACAGCAGTTTTTGACTGGCCTCCCGGGGGAGGCAAACTACAAGACTGCACCCCACATGGCTGTTTTAAAATAAGCCATGCCCGCTCCAACATACGCGCCGTGTACAGTGACTGCGTATATACAGACTCGCATGCTGAGCAATCAGTAAAAACACAAACAATCAGATCGAATGAGGAGCTGCAGTGATTGCCGCTCGCATCTCAACTCCGGTAGCGCAGCCGATTGTAGGCAAAGTGGCAAGGTTCATGACTTTCACATTGCACTGGCAAACAGTCACAGGCAACCACCAGCCGTCCAGAGGCCATGGAGGCCAACTTCAGGTGTCCTACAAACCTCCAGCCCGGGCGGCACATAAACTCCAGTTGCACAAGTCCATGCAGCTCCCACCTGGCCGCAACGTGTAGCCACATGTTGAGACATTTCTATTTTCAACAATATCAATATGAATCCTCCAGCTTCATTGCATTGCCGGACCAGACGCTAGCCCACCGTTCTATCAAAGCCAAGTGTGAATATTCAAGGGCTGAGACTTGGTAGGGGCGGGGTCTAGTGTGCGCTCGCGAAAAGGTCGAGTGTGCATTCACTACAGGGTCCGTGTGCGCTCGCTGAGCCTTAAACCCTAAACCCTCCATGTAAATCTTCCAAAGTCTGCACTGTAGTGGCTTGCCTGTGCTGGTGATCCTTAGAGTCTGTTTTGGGTGTCTCTTTATGTATCTTAGTTGAGGGTTTGTTGTTACCTTTTTCTTGTTTGTATGGTACTGGACAAGTCGAGTATGTTCTGTTTCACGCCGACCTGTGACTTTGGAACCTCGCCTGGCATGTCCGAGTTGTGACAGAGTAAACCCTGAACCCTAAAAACCCTCCCTAGACCGTAAACCCTGAACGCCCAACCCAAAAACCCTACAACCCTGAAGCCCTAAAACCTAAACCCTATGGACCTCGCCTGGCATGTCCGAGTCGTGAGAGCGTAAAGCCTCCTTTTGCGAGAGGGAAAAAGCCTCCTAAACCCTCCTGTATCACGCCGACCTCGCACCATGAACCTCGCCTGGCTTGTCCGAGTTGTGAGGGCGTAAAGCCTAAACCCTACCCTCAACCCTCAACCCTCACCCGAAACCTAAACCCCAAACCCGGAACACGCTTTATAGTATGTTACTAAACATTGGCCTTCGTTGCAATTTGGTCACAACTGAACACATTCCAACGAATAAATCAAGGTCTTGCACTCAAACCCGATTTCATTCATTGGAATTTGTTCACTGTTGAACAAATTCCAACGAATACATCGAGGTTTGGCACTCAAACCCGATTGCATTCATTGGAATTTGTTCACTTTTGAACAAACTCCAACGAATAAATCGAGGTTTTGCATTCAAACCCGAATTCATTGATTGTAATTTGTTCCCTTCTGAACAAACTCCAACGAATATATTGAGGATCTGGGCTGGGCTGGGCTAGGCTGGGTGGGCTGGGTTGGGCTGGGCTAGGCTGGGCTGGGCTGGGCCGGGCTGGGTATTCCACGAATGCTGGATAGTTCCCGGTTGTAACTGTTTGGCTTGGTTAGGTTCTAGGGAGCTTATTCCACGAATGCTGGATAGTTCGTGACACAAAAAACTGTGCTAACAAATCCATTCCTTAGTGCCGTCGCGACAAGGAATGGATGTATTAACAGTATTTTTGTGACTGTTTGGCTTGGTCAGCTTCTAGGGAGCTTCTTGCACGAATGCTGGATAGTTCGTGGTACAAAAAACTTGTAGTATTATACCGGGCCTTGACAAGGAATGGATTTGTTAGCCTTTTTTTATGGTTTGACGACTAGGCTTATCCGATCCGCCACTTTGTCGCAGATGTTTTGTCGGACTTTGACAAAGAATGGATTTGTTAACCGTATTTTTGTGGTTTGACGACCAGGTTAAGGGGTTCAGGTTTAGGGTTTAGAATTTTCGGACTACTTTCGGCGAGGAACGGATTTGTTAACCGTAGTTTGTGGTTTGACGACTTGACTAGGTTTATCCGCCCCGCCATTTTGTTGCGCCGCCGGACCTTGTAGTCTTGTTTTTTGCATTACACTGACAAGCACTGCTTATATTGTGTGATACCACTAGGTATGATATGAAACAGTCCAGCCGACAGCATGAAGACATGTAAGAGTGAAAGAAGTCCAACTGTAAATAAAGCTCATTTATGTGAATGACACAATTTAGTGTTTGGGGGTTTAAGGGTTCAGGATGCAGGTTATTGAGGGTTCCTGGGGGGGGGGTATTAACTTCGTAAAAGGCAAGCTCGACTAGAGCCCTAAACCCTAAACCCTAAAACCCTAAACCCTGAACCCTAAGCCCAAAACCTAAACCCTGAATTATATGGAGCCTTGCCTGCCGAGTGCGAGGGTAGAGTCGAAGCCCTGAACCCTGAACCCTAAACGCTCAACCAACGCTCAACCCTAAACCCTGAACCTCAACCCGGAAAGCCCTCAACCCTCAACCCTTACCCTAAACCGGTAACCCTAAACCCTAAACCCAAGACCCTAAAACCCTAAACGCTAAACCTTGAACCCGAAACCCAAACCCTAGACCCTGAACCCTAAACCTTCAATAGACCCTAAACCCTCAACTCTAAGCCCTGAACCCCCAACCCTGAAACCCTACAACCCTGAAGCCCTAGAACCTAAACCCTAAAATTCTAAAACCATAAACCCTCAACCTTAAATTACCCAAAAGCCTGAACCCCAAACCCTAAAACCCTAAACTCCAAAGCCCAAAGCCGTAAACCCTACACCCTAAAACACTAAACCTGAAACCCCACCCGCGCCTTTACTGAAAGATAAAGAATGCGCACTGGGGCCTCTTTTGTTTGTGAATGCGCGCTCGACGCTGGAATGCATGCGCACTGGACCTCCCTTCCTCACTTGGTAGTTACATACTCATTAGAATGTGAATAAACACAGGACTCAACAACTGATACATGTCCTGATAATATTTGGTTGGCCAGAAATGGTCAGAATACCAACTGTCGAACAATTCGCCGATATCCCAGGGCTAATCGCACAGGAGTGGTTAATCCAGAAACATGTAATTTGGAACAAATAAGAAATGAATTGGTACAGAGTGTTCACTGGGATAGTAATACTGAAGGAAGCAAAACGGCAACTTTAACCACAGTCTATAGCACTGGTAAATGCAATACTAAGAATACACTGACTACACTTGATATGATAACCCGCGCATAGCAGAATGTGTTCGCAATTTAGGTATGACTGAGAATGGAAGTGGGATGGGATAGGCTTGTATGTATATGACGATGATAATTCCCAGTACTCGTACCGATACTGGAATTGGATCAATGCGGCACGAACTGCTACGAATAGCTGCTATTGCAGAAGTTTACTGTTCTCTTGAGAAATACGCTTTAAGAAATTAATGTAGAGGTGTTAAGATTACAGCTATACCGGCATTTATCTGGCGATACGGCTTGGTGTTGCATATATGATTGTATGAATTAGTGAAGTATTGGGCCAATGTTAAGTTAATGAGAAAAGATTGCACAAACATATGGAACAGCGTCGGAAATTATGCTGCGTGGAAGCTCAATAAAAGTGTCTTTGTGTAAAAGATAGCGACAGGTGATTAGACATAGCCACTACTCACTCAGATAACAAGTCGGCTCGACGAGACCAGGAATCACGGAAGAATCAAACTGTACGAACAACAATACGCTGTATTCTACCTATATGGTTGGTGATTAGTACTTCTGCCTCATGTGTGAGGCTTAGTAATCGCGGCTGCACACATGGGCACGTCTAAGCACAAGAACTGAACGAGTTAATTTGTTCTGAAATCTGATCTGAAACGCCCACTAGTACTGGAGTGTTCAACAACTAACCTGTAGACCAAATTTATATAATCCAAGTGTAGAATCCTAACAAGAATTGTATAGATGCTTTGGTATAGGGTTTTTAAGGTTTAGGGCTTTGGTATGGGGATATCCAGCAAGAGCGCAGGCTCGCAACACCAGATATGACGGACGAGACCAACAAGACAAACATCCAAGGAGAATGCTGGAAATGTTCTGTTTTTTTTTGCTTGTTTGGTTCATTGTTTTTTTGGTCTTTTGGTTTGGGTTTTACAGGATTTTCTTGGGCAGTGCCAATTACCCATAGTAATCGGAACACCAAGACCAAAAGGCTAAAGGACCAAAAGACGAAAAAAGCAAAAGAACAAAGAACCAACACACCAAAAGAGTAATTATGATTGTTTTTTGTTGTTTTGGTCTCAGGCTGGGGGTTGGAAGCTACACGAAGACAGACCAACAAACACACACGCACACACACACACACAAAATGAATGCATTTCCGGCACTCTCTGCGGATCTTTGTTGCTTTTGCGCTTTTTTTGTTTTCGGTTGAGTGGTTAAAGCCAGCCGAGAAAGCAGGGCTTGAATCCCGAGCCCACGAAAAAGGCCGGAATCGCCCGTGGGAGCGGGGGTGGTCTGTGATGGTGTGTGTGTGTGTGTGTGACCATACATATACGTGTATATATATATGTATATACATATATATATATGTATACATATGTATATATGTATACATATATATATATATACACATACACATATATATATATATACACACATATATATATATATATAATATGTGTACATCTGTTTTTTTATATATATAATATGTGTATGTATGTATGTATGTATGTATGTATGTATGTATGTATGTATGCATATATATATATACACAGATAGATCATACTTCCAAGAGTTAGATCACGATTTGATGCGGCGTCTGTTCTGGCGCAGGGCTCCCGTCTTCAGCAACAATGCACATGGCTTAGCTGTGTTGTCGAGAGGGTGGCAGCTGGCCGCTGCTGGACGGCGTGGAAACAGCAAAAGACCCAAGGTGCTGACGCCCGCCACGAGGTTCCGCTTGCCAAATGTGCTCGCATTTGGTTAAGTGATAAAAGCATTGCCGAGGTTCTCGAGATGTCGGCCCAGGTTCGCCTGATGCATCCGGTGCTGCCCTCGGGCATTTCGTAACTATCGCAGAGCGCTCGCGAAAGAGAGCTTTGAACTTTCAGGCGCCCGGGCCCGGGCAGGGTTTGACAAGGTCCGTTTCTGCCTGGCCCTCGGCCCCCAGAGCCTGGAGACCTGGGCCGGGCACGCCTTGCCGGGCATTCAAAAGAGTCGCCCCGCCGGGCTGCGGGAGGCTTCCTTCCTCGATTCTCCGCTCCTCTCCATCAAGGCTTTCGCGCCCGTTCTGTGCGAGCTTCCAGCTTTGACTTGAGTGTGCAGGATGCCCAGTGCACAGATGCCGAGATGCTCGACCTGAGGCACCTCTCATGATGACAGTTTCTAAACACAGCATTTGTCCTTGTCACCTCTTTGGCGTAGGTTTGCCACGCAGGCGTTCTTCCATCTCGCTGGTATCTTCTGGTTGTGACAAGGTGTACATATCCGGCATTTGTAATCTCCAGGAGTCCAGGAATCATTTTTTCAGTTTGGGAGCTGATGGGATTGAGGATTTCCGCATCAACTGAGATTTGATGGGTTTGCAGAGTCAGTGTCTGAAATAAGGGCCCGGCCCCACCAGAAGGTGGCGAAGATAGCCGCTCGTTTGCTTACATTGCTTTGTCATGACATTGAGCTTGCGTACAATGCAGACAACTTATCTTCACGACTTGTCCCGGTATAAGACCCCAGATGAACGAACTCAGCACTTGGAATGCGATTCCTGCCAAGCTCTGCCAGGCAAAGATGCAAGGAATTGGAGCGGCAGTGTACCAGGCTCTGCAACTTTCAGTTGAAAGCTGGCTTGGATTTCAATGATTGAAGTCAGTCTTCAACATGCTGATCTGTCGCCCCTCGCGGGCGAGAATCCAGTTTGTTCTTGGGAGAGTTTGTCAAACGTTTCGGGGATACCCACGCCCAAAGCACCCACACAGCCAGTGTACTTACGCACACATTAGCAAACATAGAGAGTATGTGCACCAGTCCGCACGATTCGTGATGCGTCCATACGGTCAGGATGCACAGCCTGCTGGAGAGGGGACAAGAGGTCCCGCGATCGTGTTTGTCTATACGGGTGCTTGCCAAAGTCTGACAGAGTTTGTCTCTGATCGTGATACATCCGTGCTTGTACAGCTCAGGGTGTCGGCACAAATATCGGCTTCAGACCCAGACCCTGGGCAGGCCTGTGAACGGTGGCGCCGTCAGGGGATAAGTTTGGATCTAAGCTTGCAGCAGTATATATGCAAAATGGAAAGCCGCGAAGGCAACTCAAACTCTCATTTGAGGGCTCGCACTTCAGGTGCAGCTGCTGCCGGCATAGACAGTGCCGACGATGCTGGTGGGCGACCTGAGCCTTTTGCGCCAGTGCCTCGTCATCCTCGCGATCGCAGTGGGCCGGTTCAAATCATGAAAGTGCGAGGCTCGGACCGCAAGATTCCATGGAACCAGCCAGGACAGCAGCTCACGATGTTCGCGTGTGTTATCCGATGATGTTGCCCAACTCTCGTTGACCAGGACTGAAGGTCCTGCTGCCTTAGAGTGGGCCCGTGAGGATAATGTATCGTCAATCGGCTCTTTTCTGCTGCCGAAAGAATGCACATCTCGAGATGATCTCGCAAGTTGCACTCATCCGCCTTCTGCGCATTGTATTTGTTGCATGCCGTCGCTGAGCAAGGCTTGGCACGCGGGGGGTTGGGTAAGAGGTGGATCAGGTTTCGAGATGAATTCCGAGACACTTCGCAGCATCACATCAGCTCTTGGGCGTCTGTTTGACAGCACATGGGCCTCACATGCCGACTGCCGAGCCTCGCTCGTTGTGGCCAGCTGGAGCCACCTGCTCAGAAGACCAGGCTTTCCGGATGAAATGAAATTCATTGACCATTTGATGCTTGCCGAGGTCGTGCCGCTTGTTGGCGCATCGTCCTTAACACTGTTCTTGGAAGCTGCGGCAGTGAGGTGGCCGGTGGGGCCTAGCCATGAAAGCAGCTCTGGCAGCCCAAGATGCATGACACTTGCTGTGCAGTTGTCCCTGTGGAGTTGTTTCGTATCCAGTCGTTGTGGAGCCTTGCCTGGTGCGAGTTCGAGCGTCTGCTGTCCAGTCACCAGGTACCGAACCCGTTCTAGAGTGCTTTCGGTTTTATGCGTCTTCGGCCCGTGACATCCAAACCCCAAGCCCAAAGCTTTCAGTGAATTCTTGAACGGAAACCCTGAAACTGATCTGCAAAAGGACCGGAGATTGGGGCCATGTGGGCGCGGAGTGCGGGCGTTGTGAGGGCAGACACAACAGAATTCCCAGGCTGATGCAGAGGAAGATCGAATTGAATTGGAGGCTGGCAATCCAGAACTATCAACAGAAAGTAAAGCGCTGGGCAGATTTGTCATCTTTGTTGAGGCATGGTGTCGAAGATTCTTCGAAGAGCAAGTGACTTACCGAAGCTGACCACAGCGTTGGTCATCCTGCAAGCCGTTGTGGCATTCCTGTTGCGAGTGGCGAGGTGTGAAGCCAGTGCTGCTGGCTCTGAGTACGGAGGAGCGTTTCTATCTTACAATTTCCTGACATCTGGCTTTTGTTGCGATCTTTGTACACTTCACAGAATTCGAAGGGAGCCGTGATGTTTTTGGTGGCAGCAGTTGAGTCTTGCAGTGACAACCAGGTCAGATGCCGAGTCGCTCTTGAGCAACACGTCCGGTCCACAAGACGGCCAAGCTGGAGTCTTGCCTGAGTTAGTCCAAAGCCACAAACATCAGGCCTTCCACCAGGACGAAAGCGGAGCACCATGGTGCACGCCGCATGGCACCAAGCGAGCTCTCGAACCTTTTGCTCAGATCTGTCAGCTTGGGCATCATTGTTTATCAGGTCGTCGCTGGAAGGCTGTAGCAGCTGCAGCTGCGGTATTCATGGCAGCATGCCCGGACGGTTGCGACAGTACCATGAACAGCACATGTTTCGAGACTCGGTTGACAAACGAGGTAGTGCTGCTAGTGGCTTGGATGGTCTGGAAACAAGGAGGCGCGGGATTCACACATTGAGCTGAGTTCAATGTTTTCCTTTCGTGCTTTGCTGCAGGTGTATCGAAGCACATGTCCCAGGCACACTTTGACTCCTGTCGAGTTCAACGGTAAGCCGAGTCCACTGAGATCCAGGCGAAGGAGCAGGCCCAATCGACTGCGGAATTGCAAGACTCTTTCGAAAATTGGCTTGAAGCTAAGACTGCTTGCAGATGTTGTTTGCTGGTGCGTATATTGTGGGCCATCTCGACAGGAAGCTCATCGTTCAATCGTTCTGCCTTTGAAGTTGCTTGCGGTACACTCTGTCGTATATTCGGGCATAACTCAGAATGTTTAACGACATCACGTCCTATTCGAGTGCCTCGTGAATGCAGACGTACAGCCCTGCCCGAGGCTAATAGCTTGCGTTTCGATGATGGTATGATCAGGTTCAAACATGTTACGTCATCCTGAAAACTGCAGCTGTTGCCTCCATTATCGCAAAAAGCTTCGCAGCCTTGCTTCCTCTGTTCCTGTTCTGTTGAATAGCTGTTTGCGCATTCGTCGTTCTGCATTTGATGACCGCATCATGCCGTGCAGTGCGAAGCACAGAGACACATGTCATGTTGGCAGCCAGCTGCTAGAACATGTGCCGAGGTTCGTTCAATCTCGGCCAGAGTCAACCTCAACAACAGCGGCACCATCATCATCATCATCGTCTCTGCAGCAGCATCAACATTCCACCAAGCCAAGCACACAGATGCCCACGATCGCTGGAGGCACGGATGAGTCTGAGGTTGTCATCTTGTATTAGTCTGCCTCTTGTTCTTGTTCAATGTCGCATTGTCCAGCGCGTTATGCTTCGAGTTTCGTCACATCTTCGATCATGTTCAGGCGTAACTTCTGCAGCGGTCACCACTGACACAACGACTTTATTGACCTCTACAACCGTCCACGAAGTCTGCGCTGATCTGGGAGAAGGCTTTGTTCTCACTGGATACAGAGACGTCAAGTAGCAGATGTCCTCATGTTTCCTGCATTAGCTTACTGGAGACGAGGTCGTTTTCCTGCGGTGCCTGCTGGTGGCGAATATGTGCATGCCTTTGGCTACTAACGTGGTTCTGCCGAAAATGACCAGCTCCATGGCAAGGTCAATCAGTACGACCCGGACAACCAATTGAGGAAACTGAATCGGGCAGACTGCAGATCATCTTGTACTGGGACTGGTACTCACCCCGAGTTGATTCGCTGGCAGGATCGCAGCTGATCCGCGCAGAAGCAACAACTACTTCATAGTCATCGGTGATTGGGGAAAGGCTTTAGATGCCGGGGGGTCACGAGCTGAGCACCGACTAAGCGAACCTTGGCTTGATGGGCTCGCATCTCAGGCCTGGCAGTTGCCAGCTGAAGGTGGCAGACCTGGTGAAGAGCCCGTGACCCTGAGAGTCTCTCTGAGTCACAAAGACGAATCGGCCACCAGCTTTGTGGCAGAGGCTATGTCCGAGCACAAAGACAGGCGCAGGGTCCGTCCAGAGCTGGTTTTCCAAGTCGACTTGTCGGTTTTGCAGCGTAAGGCCGGCAAGACTTTGCTCTTCATTGCTTCCGTAGCAGACTCGGTTGCAGTGAGGCCTTGCCGGTGTGACAATTGCAGGGTATCGCGGGGCATTGACGGCGTGATGGCATGTGCTAGTGTGCTAGAAGTGTGTGATATTCAAGACTTAGGGCCCAGGTTTGATCATGTTTCCAGTGTTGCTGACCATGTGTGATCAGAGGGGTCCAGGCTTGCTGTGTGCATTGGATAGCTGCACTCTCCGAAGGCGCCTTGAGCTTAGAGGAAAAGTGGGGTAGTTTTTACCTCCTGCGGCTTTGGTTCTACATGGCAGCGGAGCCTCAGTGACGACTGGGGACTCTAGAGCCAGGCGCGTGGGCCCGAGCATCCGCTCGGCTGATTCCGGAGAGCACGTCCTCTCCGATTACCTGCTTCTCCTGTTTGTGGAGGTTTTGTTTTCGGGATTTTGAGTACTGCGAGAGCTTTTACAAGGTCAGGTGGCTCTTGGAGAGCCACGGGACTTTCTTCGTGGGAAAGTTTTGTGCATACCGGCAACCGAGCCGGAAGGAGGTGTTCTCTGCGAGCGGCAGAGCGGCTGCTGGCCAGGACGGTGCCTGGACCGTGTGTGTACCCACTGCTGTGGGGAAGCGAGAGTGGAGTGAGAACCTTTGGGGCTGAGCCTGTGCTGAAGGATGGCTACGGGAACTGCGCCAACTGAGGATCCGACCGCGGGCCCGAGAACGGCAACACCTGTTGCGTCACCGATCCGGAGGCGATCGCCGGGAACACCGCCACCCTACGGCGATGGTCTCGATGGAAGTGCAGGCCCCGCGGGGGCAGCAGGGGCGAGAAAGTTCGTTGACTACAAGATGGAGTCTGCCCCTTCCTGGGACGGAGAAAGGCCAGAACAGATGTACCGGGAGTATGCCCGGAACCTTCGACTTTGGCTCATTGAGGCGGAGGAACGCCTGCCACCACAGCTCATCGGAAAGAGAATAATCGACTCGATTCCCTATGGGAGTCGGTTATCTGCTCTGGTGGGGCATCTATCGGTCGAAGAAATAACAGCGGCCGATGGGTATAAGCAGGTGATCCAGTGTATCGAGGAGGCCCACGAGTATTTGAAGGTGGCCAAGCTGGAGCAGGCCTTCTCGGCGGCGATCTTTGGTGGCCGGAGGAAGGCCGGTCAGACCATCACCGGCTTCTTGGCTACGAAGCGGGCCTCGTTTTCAGAGTTGAAGAAGCAAGGGCTGGACTTGCTGGGAACAGAGGCCGGGCAGCATTTATTAGGCCACCTGGTGATGAGACAGGGCGGTTTTAGCACAGATGAGCAACAACGAATTCGGGTGCTGACCGACGGCTCGATTGATTTCAGGAAAGTAGAGCCGGCCATCCGCAAGATTTTCGGAGACGCTGTGGATGACCCTCCTGGGCAGCATGGTCCTCGCCACAGGAGCTACTGGGGGGCTGAGGATGACGAGCTCGAGGGTGACTACGATGACTCTGGCTACCCCCTCGGTGACTTCCCCGACGATGACGGCGAGGACCTCTTCCAGGACCTGCTGGAGGAGGATGAGACCGGAGAGATTTTCATGTGTCTCGACGCTCCCTTGCCTAGCGTGATGGATGAAGACCAGGCGGTGCAGTACACTGGGGAACTCCTCAGCTACATCTATGGCGAGACCGCCGACCGCTGGCAACGCAAAGGAAAGAAGGGAAAAGGAAAGGGAAAGGGAAAGGACAAGGGTGCCAAGAAGGGCTTTGGTGTCTATGGCTCTGGGGCCCCTATGTCGTATCCTGAACACCGGCGTGCTCTACAGACAGCCAGGATGGACCGAGGATTCAGCCGGCCACCCTCCTTTCCTTCTCCTGGGCGACCGAGGACATCTCTCCAGGACATCAAGGCACGTACCAGATGTCATCAGTGCAAGCAGTTGGGGCATTGGTCCCGTGAGTGCCCCCAGCGGCAGTCGACTCGACCGAGATCCCCAAGTTTGCCACCGCAGGGCCCCGGGAGTGCACCACGGGTGTCTGCGAACCATTTCTTTATGAGTGAGCCTGAGCAGTTCGAAGGAGATAGCCGCGGTGTGTGTTTCAGCAGCAGCTGTGAAGGACACCAAGTTTTCACCGGGTTTGTCGAGATGGACAAGGCCCTTGAGTGTGAGATTGTGTCACCTTGCGAGCTCGAGAAGCTCGAGCCACCTGAAGCGCGTTCCGATGTCGAGGAATACATGCCCGAAGTGTTCTTGAACTATACGTTTGCTACATGTCATGAACCTGGGGGTTGTGCTCTAATCGATACCGCGGCCCAGCATGGTTTGATTGGGGAGAAAACTCTGGAAGCTCATGACAGGTTCCTCCAAGACAACTTCCGGTTGAGGATTCAGGTCACAGATGAGGTCGGGGGCACGGTCAAAGGCGTTTGTGGGTCCGAGCAGATTACCAAGGTTGCGTACATTCCAATTGGTATGGGGGGAAAGCCGGGAGTTCTACGTGTCCAGGTAGTACCAGGTGTTATCCCGTGTTTGGTCCCCGCCTATCTCCTCACGGATGCTGGTGCAGTGATAGACATGCCAGGGTCACAGGTGTACTATACTCACATCAGTGCAGTGCAGAGCATGACACGTCGTAGCAGTGGACATATGGAAGTGAGCCTGTGCGAGTTTGGCAAGAATTGGATGATCCCGGCAACTTATGGCTTCATCAAGAGTGAGATTTGGGGTGAACCCTTTGTCCCCACGAAGCACTCGCTTGCGGTTTTTGATGGAGCGGGCCAGGCTGCCACCATTCCTTCGTCGATGGCGGCGCTTTGTGCTGCGGTTCTTCTTTGTGCTTGCCAACCAGGCGTGCTTCGCCCTGGAGCAGATCATCTACCAGCCTCAGCTCCGGCGTGTGAGAAAGCTGGCGGCCAAGAGGGAAGCGCTCGAGGCCAAAGCTTTGCAACTTCGTCGGGAGGAACAGCATATCCTGGCGGAGGCCCCGGCCGAACTTCCACCACGACGAGATCGTCTTGCGGCCGAGGAGCATGTGGAGCAGAGGCGGCCCAGGGTCGAGCACCGGGGACGATCGAAGTTTCTCTCGCCAGTGTTACGGAACTCGGCGAGTTGCCCTCACCCGGACACGACCCATGGTGCCAACGCAGACTGGTGCTGGACCAAGTGCACCCGTTGTTCGATGATCGAGCAGATCCCCAAGATGCCGTTGAGCCAGATGGCCACATGGAACAATGTGCTGATTTACCAGGCCCCAGACTACCAGACCCCCGGGGAGAAGAAGAAGGAACAAGCCGAGAAGCGCGAGGCAAGGCGCAACCCCGGTTCAGTGGTGCCTGGACAGCCGAGAACTCCGGGGACGAGCTCGACTATGCCTCATGTGAACAGCATGGATGTGCCCCGGCTTCCCGTGAAGCTGGAGATTGGGACACCAATGTCGGTGAGATCCCATCAGTCTGTGGATTCGGAGATGGAGGAGATGAGCGAGGCAGGCCAGGACGAGTGGCAACTTTGGAGACGAGATGCAGGAACTGTCCCTCCAGTGGATCCACCTTCGTTGATGCAGGGGTGCCCTCACTGTCATTGCGGTGGCCTTCACCTGATGCTGTGCCCCGAGAAGGACAGGGTGATTTGGAGGTGCAGTGGCGGCCTCCCCGGGTGCCCGTTCCTCTGGCCGGAGTACAACAACCGCGTGGTGATGGCCACAGGGGTGAAGCTATGTGTAAGTTGCCATCGCGGTGTGGTGAAGAAGATTCTGCACCAAGGAAGGGAAGCATATCTGTGCCCTCTGTGCAAGGACCTGACCCTACTGTCGGAATGGCAGGAGGTGTTTACCAAGCTTCGCGACAGCGGCGGCTACAACCCGGTCCTGACGCACGACAGAGCTTGAGCGAGGGCAGTTTTGCTTTCCTGGGCTGGTTGGCCCGAGCTGACGTGATGGAGAAGATGAAGAGTTTATGTGACTTGGTGCCAAATTTTGAGGGAAAGAATGCTGCAGTGTTTGAGTTCTACGGAGTGAAGGTGCCAGCACAGGTACCGGTTCGCTGCAGGTGCCCTCTTGGGAGTCGTGTGATCGCGACCTCCCCGAGCCCAGGTCAGTGGCATGTGTTACAGATTGATGGTGCCAACCGCGAGTATGACCTCAACGTTCCATCGTCCGTCTATGTGATCCAGGAATTCGCCGAGGACTTTGTTCAGTATGCCGGCGACCAGGAGTTTGAACCGATTGAGGTGACGATGGACCGAGCCACGAAGAAGCAGCTAAATGAGGCGATTGATAAGGTCCTCGTGATTCCGGAGCAGTACTTTGAAATGTGTGAGGATGAGGACCTGGCTGTTGAGTCGCAGGACTTTGACGGTGTCGAGGACCGGGATCAGATCCTGGATATGGATGCGAGGAGAGCCGCAAATCGATACAGGCTTCTCCCTGTGGACCTCGAGATGACGTCCCTCTGCGAGGATCTGAGAGAGGTCGAGCCCTTGGGTGAAGGATGGCGTGATCATCACGGGCAAGCCATGTTCATCAGCCTTCACCCGCGACGGTCGGTTTTGCCTCAGTGTGGTCCTGGTGGTCGAAGTATGCGGTGGACAGCCGTGATGGTGAAACCAGGGGAATGGAGATGGTTGGAACAAGGTGTTTCCGGTCGGTGGCACCAGGAGGCACGGTCGCATTCGGCGATTGTGGTGTTGTACCGGTGGCCCGAGGCTGCCGAGGCCTACGTGATGTCCTATTGACTTGACGGACAGAGAGAAGGGCGATGTTCTTCGATGTCACGTGAATCTTGGCCACCCAAGTGCTCGAGAATTTGTCAGGCTGTTGAAGGCGGCGGGGTCGAGACATGATGTGATTCAGTATGTGTTGCGAGAGTTTCAATGTCCAGGGTGTGTGAAAATAAAGAAGCCTCCCACGAGACTCCCAGCAGCAACGCCACGTACTTACGATTTCAACATCATTGTCGGGGTGGACCTCTTATTTGTCCACGGACTTGGCCCTCGGGCGGAACATCCGGTTATCAATATTACGTGTCTTGGAACATTGTACAGCACGTTTGGACTAGTTGACCCGCTGCAAAGGTCTGCTCATGTCACTTGGTTGGCATTTTCTCGACTGTGGCTGAGAACTTTTGGGGCTCCTCAGTACCTGGTGTTTGATGAAGGTCGGGAGTTCACGGCCTCAACTTTCCAGGAGGGACTGGAGAGACATGGTATCATTCCTTTGGAGGTAGCCCGGAATGCCCCGTTCACCAATGGGGTGGTTGAAAGGAGAGGAGGCCTATTCAAAGAGGTGTACTACCGCACCCGCGAGATGACTCAGCCTACGACCTTGGAGGAGGTTGAGATTCTGGTGTTTGAGGTCAGCTGGAGCTTACAGACCTTGACGAACCGGAGCGGGTACTCACCAGCACAACGGGTGCTGGGAAAGCAGCCAACACTGGCGCTGGACACTTTGTCTGATCAGCGCGAGTATCATCTGTCAACTACGCAGGATGCTGCCTGGAAGCGAGCCCATGAAATACGGACGGCGGCCAGGACTGCATTGATCCAGGTGGACGCCAAAGCAAGGCTTGCTCGAGCCCGACTTGGGCGACCTCGACGGGAGATCGAGAACCTGAAGTTTTCTGAGGGTGAGCCGGTGTTGGTGTGGCGAGTTGGACGCCGTGGTGCTACGGCTAAGGTGGGCCCCTGCTATGTTATCCATCAAGATGGTCACGTCGTTTGGGTGACCCGAAGGGGCGAGATCTGGAAGTGTCACGTGAGCCAGGTCTTCAAGATGTCAGTGGCAGATCAAGCCGGTCTGGAGATGATCCCTGCCGAGTTGCTGGAGGCAAAGGCGAGGCTGAGATATGACAGTGAAAAGATGCAGTTTGTCGATGTGGCCAGCGAGGCCGATGGGATTCAGGGACCAGGGTCCAATGGACCCCCTGATGGACGAGTGAAGCAAGAGCTTCATGATGATCGTCAGCTACCCACAGAAATTCCAGTCCCAGATCCACTTCAGAACATCGGTGGGAACGATCAGAATCCTGAGCGACTACCAGCAGATGTTTCAGTTCAACCAGGGTTCCCCGAAGGCAACGGTGAACAGCAGCAGCTAAGGTCAGAGAATGATGATGAGCGTCAAGATGACCTTCAGCTACCCGCAGAAATTCCAGTCCCAGATCCCGTGGTCATTGATATAGATTCTAGCTCGTCAGCCGGTGGGGGGTCATCTGCTGGCTTGGGACCAGCTAGTTCTGGATCCACGTCGTCGTCTTCAAGTTCCAGTGGGTCTTCGTCAAGTACATCTACTCCCAGGGCACCTCGTGGACAAGCCGAGTGGCCGCCTCAGGGGAGTGGTACGCAGTTGAGAAAGTGGTCGCGTTTTGACAAGAGGCCAGTGAGGTTTCGCACGTCGAACAGTCGTGGACCAATGTGGTCAGATGTGGTACAGCGGATCTCGATCGACAACGACACCGGTCAAGTGATCAAGCGGGAGAACTTCAACGGCACAGAGACTTCCAAGGATCTTCATCGACCACTACCTGTTCAAGTTCGGTCGTTGCGGACGGTGCTGGTGTACAAGCGCGTGGATGGACATCCTGATCCCGGGCAACCTCTGGAACAAACAGATAGACCGGAGGTGGGTGATGATCAGATCCCGGGGGAGGATAGCCGGCTGTTTGATCAACGGATGAAGCGTTCGCTAGATGATGTAGCCGGCAGGACGTCGGACTCAAAGGCACCTATGAGAAGATCGAGGGTGTTTGGGACTTGGGTCGCCGATCAGGTGACCGAGTATGGCGACAAGTCCAAGATGCCCGTGATGGCGAATCCCCGTGACATGCAGTTGTTCTATAAGCTGGAGACTGGGGATACTGTGTACTACGACGGGGAGATCTTCGGTTCCTTCGTGGCCCTCACCAAGCAATCGGGCAAGGAATTGACCGAAAAGAATTTCACGGCGGATGAAGTCAGGCTTTTCAACGAAGCCAAGAAGGTCGAAATTGGGAACCTTGTCAGTGGGAATGCCATCAAGTTCATCCGTGACCGGTCCAAGGTCGAGAAGATCTGGAAGGACCTTCCCCAGCGGGTCATGCCGAGCAGGTTCATTCTCACCAAGAAATCACAGGAGCTTGGCGAGGGCTGGAAAGCCAAGGCTCGGTGGATATTGTTGGGGCATCGCGACCCCGACGTCATGCAGCTGGAGCGATTCTCTCCGACACCTGCCACGACGACTGTCTACTTGGTGTTTCAGCTGGTGTCATCTCTTCGATATCAATTGTTCATCATGGACGTGACTTCAGCGTTCGGACAGAGTGATCCGCAGGTCCGGAAACAGGGGCCGTTGTACGCCTCCCTTCCCAAGTCGGGTATTCCCGACGAGGAGAGCTGGCACTTGATTGAGGTGCTCACTGCCACCTATGGATTGGTGAACGCGCCGTCGGCATGGAGAAAGACTGTGGTGTCAGTGTTGATGTCCCTTTCATACAAGGAGTCGGTTTTCGACCCCTGTCTTTATTATCTCCCGTACCAGCCCGATGAAGTTGATTCCCTGGACCAGAGAGGCTGCGCCGGCATCGTCTTGTTGGACGTAGACGATTTCGCGCAAGGAGGAAATGCTAGGCATCATCAATTGATGCAACGTCTCCGTGAGCGCTTCAAGTTCGGCAAATGGAGGTGCCTTTACAATGGTCACGGGGAGTACCTCGGGAGGACTATCAGACAGGATGAGTCCTTTGAAATCCGCGTGGACATGCAGCGGTACATAGAGGAGAAACTTCGGCCAGTGACGCTGTCTCGTGAGAAGCTACGCCAGGGTGACGACGCTCCTCTTGACGAACGTGAGTGAGACCACACTTCTCCGAGGGGCTGGCGGGTCACTTTTGTGGGTTGGAAAGGAGTGTCGGCCGGATGTTGGTGCAGCATGCGCAATGGCAATGTCGTGGGGCAGTTCAGGCCCAACGGTACGACATGTCAAGGCTGTGAACAAGACGATCAATGAACTGAAGAAGACCGCTACGGTTTACCTCCGCATCCTGCCGATCGACCTCAACAAGGGCATCTGGATGTCGATCTCCGACGCCTCAGTGGGGAATGACGCTGAGAAGTCGCAGGGCGGCTTCATCATCGCCTATGCCGACCGCGAGATTATGAACGGTGGCCTTCAGTCTTTCAGTATTAACTCATGGAAGAGCCACCGGGTGCGCCGGGTTGTGAAGGCTTCACTTGGCAGTGAAGCTTTGGCTATGGACGATGGACTTGCAGAGTTGGAGTGGGTGAAAGCCATGTTCACCGAGGTGGTGATCCCGAACTCCACGGTGTCAGACGGGACGCGTTTCGGCGTCGACGAGTCTGCGGTCATCGTCAGGCAGCAGGGTCCAGATGAGAACACCATTTTGGTGACCGATGCAAGGGCATTGTATGATTTGTTTCATCGCAGGAGTGGTGCAGCTGGTTTGTGCAGGCGGGCCCAAATCGATGTATCGGTTATGGCCGCATCAGCAAAAGCACTGCGTGCAGAGGTTCATTGGTTGCCTGGAGTACATATGTTAGCCGATTGTTTGACCAAGAGGCTAGGGAATGCAGTCCTGATGCGCCGAGTTCTGAAGCTCGGACGATATGCCATCAAGGAAGATGGACTGCGTGCACTTTCAAACCTGGAGTCTCCCCCTGATGGATGTGATATTCAAGACTTAGGGCCCAGGTTTGATCATGTTTCCAGTGTTGCTGACCATGTGTGATCAGAGGGGTCCAGGCTTGCTGTGTGCATTGGATAGCTGCACTCTCCGAAGGCGCCTTGAGCTTAGAGGAAAAGTGGGGTAGTTTTTACCTCCTGCGGCTTTCGTTCTACAAAGTGCCACGTTCGCCGCATTTCGCGTGTACGATGCTGTCTTACAAGCTGCGTCGGAACTCGAGGTCGGAGACAACTTCTATTGGACTGGGGTCACGCCAGAGGCCAGTTTCAGGCCAAAAGAAATGAGGGCCGCAGCGTGGTGGCAGGCATGGAAAGTGGCATGGGCCGAGCACGGACCCCATCGGACCCCCAAAGGGAGTCACCAAGGGATTCTTCGGGCAAAACCAGATTGGCTGTCGGCAGTCTTGGAGAACAGAACCTCGGCCTCAGGCCATATGGCGTCAATGATCAGACCTCGCCGCTTTTTCAGGCACGGATAGCTGCGATGAGAGCGCTCACAGCACAACTTAGCCTTCGACAGGGCTGGGGGCCTTTGCAGCATGAAGCGTGTGCAGACATGCAGTCCCTCTTCCTGCTTCCGGTTCCCTTTGCGACTTTCTCTGGCGTTTGCTCTCGTAAAGCAGCAGAGCAGGGCAGCCTGAGAAACTCCAATCGATTGTGTTTCCAATCCCCTCGAAGCACCCGGCCATCGATGCGACGCGATGTCTACCTGCCAAAACACGGCAAGAGTTCATGGTCCATTTGTTCTTAGGGACACCCTGCAGATTGCCGATATGTTTTGGAAAAGCTTTCATGAAGTTTGAACCTGTCTTCGGCAGTGCGAGCTGAGCTAAACGCCTTTGGCCAGGTTCCCTGGCTGGCAGTCTATGGCAACCACGATTTCGGTAGCCATGACCCATATGCCTTTTGTCCACATGCCATGGCCTTAATTGTGCACAGCCCAACGACCTTTAGCGGAGTGTTTCGTTTGGCTCCGAGGTACAGCCGAAACATATTCTGGGCTTCCAGGCTCTGGTCTCTCCTGCCATCCCTAACGGCCTGGTACTTGGTACACCTTTGCTGTTGAAAGGCTTACTCCGGCAATCAGCTCAACAAGGACTTCTGCGCAGACACTGGCATGCAGCTTTTGCTTGCATCCCAAGCATCAGTTGCAGGATCGCAATCCCCATCGCCCAGAATGGACGAGGCAGGCTGGCAACACAGATGGACCGCTTTCGTGCCGCTAGCTTCTACAGGCAGTTCTGGCTTCCCGACTACAATTATCACTACGAGATCCCAGATGCCGACTTGGAGGCGCAGCTTTGCGGTGTCCTTTTCGCCTCAGTGAAACCAAGAAAGCTGCAAGAAAGGTCATTGCGGTTGACACAAATGGTGCCGTGGATGCCAACGGCCAGCTCCTGATGGATGGCGCGATTGGCGGAGACGCGCCGAGCCCTCAGAGAGGGAGCAAAGCAAGAGCCGGGAGACAGCCCACACGCATGAAATGATACCTGAAAGGAGAGGTCGGCGGTGTGCTGACCATCTTTGCGGAGGCTCTGTTTTGCTGCGGCCTGCTGTGCATAGCAAAGCTACCCGGAGTCTCTTTCGTTTATGCGAGGCCACAACGTTTCCCAAGACTTCTTGCGCAAAGTCGCACGAGCAACCAGCCCAGAAACATTTCCAAAACTCGGCATTTTTCAAGCCGCACTTCTCTGTGGTTGGCGTGCACTTGCGAAGGCTGGCCAAGAACTCGTAAAAGAGCGGGCCAGGAAGAACACCGCTCCTTGCTGGCACCGCCGATCTCGGAATCTCGGTATGATTTGGTTTACCCGCAACCTGTCGGTGCAGGTTGGCACAGTTCTGCTCATCCAGCACTATCCGGGCCTTTGCCCACGAGCTGTTTTTGAATTGGTTCCAGCCTCGGTGTTGGGAAGCCATAACTCATGACATTTTGTTGTTGCAAGAGAGCCTCCACAGAGGCGCTACCGCCTGCACGCAGAGGGAAGGCTGGGATGAATTGGCTTCGGCATGGAGCGATGACGCTTTCCTCTCAACAGCACCTAGCGGTGTGCCGCCGAAGCTTTCTGGGGCAAGACACGTGCACACCTGAAGCCCAGCCAACTGCAAAAGAATACGCGTTGACACATGCATGATGACCACGGTGTCCTGGCTAATACGATCTTCTTGATCCGGCCAGCAGCGTTGAAGCTAACGTACGGCATTCCCACCCAAGATGTTCGACTCCATTGATTGGTTTCATGTGATTCATGCGTTTCAGGCTAGCTTTCTCAGATCAGGGAGCGGGCCGAGCGGGCTGCGGCTATGGCTCTCACCTTCGACCTGGAGTCGCTCCCAGTCCTGATCGTCCCGGGCAAGCACAGGCTTCTTCTGAAGGACCTGTTTTGCAGTTCCGGCATTTCACAACCCGCATTTCAATGTGAAATCTGATATTGCAGGACTTACAAAATGTAAGAATACAGGCCTCCGGCAATCGGAAGGATTGGCAAAGGCCATGTCCTCAATGAGCTGTGAATCGCAGTCGTGTTTCAGATTTCACATCTGACAATCTACTCCGAGGATGTATGTGACGGAGACTGCCATGTTGCGTCAGTGCGCAGATGATCATGCTATGAAACATTACTGTAAGTTACAATCGCATGCAAGGACTCGCAAGTTCGCTAGGTACCTCAACGAGGCTCCTGACAAGAAGTCTTGGAAGCCTCCGCTGAGCTCTTGCCGAATTGGCTTCAACGACAAAGGAGTCTTCCTGCATGAGGACCATGGAGCAGCTTGCGCGCAAGCGATCCTGCCGATGGATGTAGATTGCATGCTTGGTTCAGGATCATGTCAAGCGATATTTTGGTTTGCTCGAGAGCGCCGCACGACATTTGGTGCCTGCAGCAAAAGCCCTGGTGCAGCAACAGATCCTGTTCGTGCCACTCTCGCTGTGGTGGGCTGCGTTGGGGCCACAGCTCAGGTTGAGACGCAAGAGGCAATCCCAAAGTATTACCGAAGCCAGAATTGACGCCTGCCAGCATGACAAGTAGAGCGAAGCTGTTTTCGACAGGTCACTCGAAGCCTGCTCAATTCCAAGGCCACGAAATGATGGACTCCCTTGCGGCCAAAGTGCAAACAGTTACTGACGATATGAGGAAGCAGGCCGATACGGACTTGATCTGTCAGACACACTGGGTGGATGATTTTCAGGTGGTGCAGTCCACATTCCGTGCTGCTGACACCAATGGCAACGGCACCCTCAGTGCCACGGTGGCAGCATTCCATAGAATCCTGTTTGCTCCAGAGTCCCGTTTCCCAGGCAGGCACGAGATTGGTTCGCTCATGCGGCGGCTTGCGCGGGACTTGACACGAGTTGTAATTTCAGTCGCATTATCGAGTGCAGCCGAGGCGGTGTCGGTGACAGCTCAGGAGATAGACACCTTGATGAAGGAGGTCGGGTCGTTGGGGTTGGAGTGCTGGGCACTTGCACAGTGCCCACATTTCGAGGCGGATGTGAATCGGGATGATCAGATTGACTACGAAGAATTCGCGGTCTCAGCCTCGGCTGCAAACAGCAAGTTCGAGCCGACCGTAGCGCCACAGAGTCATAGAGGTAGCGAGTAGCTCCGAGCTTGTAAAGAGTTTTGTCGTCGCCGGTGGGCTTGGTCTCCTAGTGCACTTGGAAGATCTTGGAAGCTGATGCTCTGGCCGAGACATGGATGCTGATAACCAGACGCGGGTTGATCAGCGCCAAGTTGACGGAGGATCTAGGCCGCCCTGCGCAGTTACTGACATGTGGAGAGTGTGTGCCTTTTGCACGTTTGCTTGAGGTTTCTAAAAGCTGCGAGTACCGCTCATCTATCATCCACCGAGCCTGTACTTCTCAGGCAGTGCCGCCGACGTCGTCAGGTCGGTTAAGCATTTGCTTTTCTGAATGTCTGGTCTGATCAGATTGATCAGAGAGCATCGGCATCTGGACAGGGCATCGTTCCGAGTCTGGGATTCCAACGGCAATGGCTTGATTTCCAAGGCATGGTCATTTGCTCTCGTTGCATGACGGTTTTGCGCTTCCACTGTGGTGGCTTTGAGATGCAGCCTGGTTCATCTTGCCACATACTGCAGCAGCACGAAGTATGTTCCTTATGTTGCAGGCTGAAGTTCGGAAGTGATTCGGATGCACTTTATGATGGATTTCTTTGGGGTTTGTTTTCCTTTGGTGAGAGAGAGAGTGAGAGAGACCCCAATGTAAAGCCAAGCCGCCAGCTTGGAAGCTCCAAAACCCTGCAAGGACTCGCGGGTGCACGTACGCGTGCGGCTGCCGCTGCCCCTCCTAACCCGCTGGAACAACTTGTCTCCACCCCTGCAAGGGGCCACGCAGACGTACAACCGCGGACCGAGAGGGGTAGGCCCTTAAGCCAGAGGGCGCTGTCTCCATACCCCAAGCAAGCAAGCACCAGAGAGAGAGTGAGACACAGCTGGCCTCATCTTTTGTAGCTTTCACACCTTCACCAGCGTCACCAGTGCGCGTTCGCGTGCGGAGTGGGCGGGGACCTGCCCTCTTGAAGACTCTTGACTGTGTGGAAGAAGAGAGAGCGAGACAGAATACACTCAGCAAAATCGCAGTCCTAGCTTAGGCTTTGTGAGTTAGGCCAATTAGGCAGTGTTCTGAGACCCCGGTGGAATGTGAGGTGAATCGTGCATGTTTGAGCCTACCGCAGTGTGTGCCGGGAGATGAAATACTTCTTTTAAACTAGTTGACCCGCGACATACACACAATTCGAACCAGGTGTCCCAAAGCCATTGTGCTGAGCATTGTGTCGGGGGACTTTTAGCCTAATAAAGATGGTTCAATATGCCCCGATATCACATCCTCCCGAATGCCCCATGAATCGTGGGGGGCCAAAAGGCCGGGGGTTTGACACGCCCCCTAGGCCCTGGGGAAGACGAAAGGGGAGAGACGGGCCAGGGGACCTCGACAGTCCCATAAGCGCTGTGGAATAAGAAGAGAGGCCGTCAGCAAGCAAGCAAGAGCGCGCGCGAGCGGAAGGGTTTGCACGCCTCTTGTTTGTGTCGAAGCTGCTGCTGCTGCTACTACTACTACTACTACTGCTACATTGTGCCGGGAATTTAGAACAATTGCTTGATGGAACCGTCTTGGTAATCTTGGCAATCTTGGTCAGGGGTGGGGGGGAGCAAGATTGCCACGCAATCTTGGTCAACTTGCCCCACTTGCTCGCCGCCCCCACTGCACCACTTGCGCCCCTTGCTCGCCGACTAGTTTGCCAAGATTGCAAGATTGCTTGGCAATCTTGCTCAAAGAATTGTCTTGAACTCCGGGCACACCGTACTACTACTACTACTACTACTACTACTCTACTCCTACTACTCCTACTACTACTACTACTACTACTCCTACTGCTACTGCTACTGCTACGACTGCTACGACTGCGACTGCGACGACGACGGCTACTACGACTACTACGACTACTACAGCAGCAACCAAGCAACGCCATGCCATCAAAAGAAACAGTTTCAAAATCCATGTGCATCCCTTCAGAGCCTGTGATGTGAGCGTTATGTGTTACAAACGGGGGGTAGCGCCAACCCGACCGCACCGGCTGTTTTCAAGCTGCGCAGGCTTGTTTCAACGAGCACCCGGGGGGCTGCCCCAAACACCCAGTTAATCAAGCTGTACAAGCTTGTCTTAAGGAGCACCATGTCATGAGGGTGAATGGCTGCAGAATCCGTTTGCAACCTAGCGAAACTGGTCATGCAAGCGCCTTTGTTCAACCCCCGCGAGCGTTTTTGTTGCTTTTTTCTTTAAGCCGTTTCCCGTTTTGTCATGGCAGTGTATCAAAAGGCAGTCTCACTATCTAGATGAATCCATCCATGTAAACCTTTCAAACCTGTCATATAACCGTTGCGTTTCCCACCGCTTTCGGCAACCCAAGCAGCCCCCCGCAACAATCACTCAGGTTGTTGCTGCAAGCATGCAAGATGAAAGCAAAGGCCTGTCGCAGCCAGCTTGATGATGTAATCAGGGATTATCACAGATCTCATTTTGCCTTCAGGATGTTGAGATTCTGGCAGAAGTCATGGACACCGATGACGATGGTTGAAGCCCAAGCGGCGTGTCATTTTGGATTTGTGATATCGTTTAACACTTGCATCAGGTCAGATCGACTACGACGAGTTTGTGAGTTTTCTTTTTCCTCGGAGCGAGTGAGGGACAGAGCCCTTCGCCATCTGTGATGCTGTTTCAAACCGCCAACGGGCCTTTGACCGATTCCGCGGTACCAAAGTTGTACTGCGAAGCAGTACCAAAAATGCCAGACTGTTTCGAGCTGCAAAGCAGCATGCCAGCATTCGACCCGGTGGGGAGTCGCAAAACTCTGCTCGCTCCAACGGCCGCAACGTTATGCTAAGTCGGGGGGTCGCCATGGACCAGTTTGCTGCAGGTAAAAGTAATCTGCGCCTATGGCCATGTCCATGATCAGAACTGCGATGTGTCCGGCCGTACCTGATTCACACTGCAGATTGATTTCTTGCAGTGCAGCCTCTGTATGCCAGGAGGGACGAGAATGGCCTTTGCATCGAGATTCTGTCTGGTGGCGGAGGTGGTTGTTGTGGAGCGGAGGCGGCAACCCGGTAATTTTGTTGAGACGATAGGCAACAAGTTGTGAGAATCCGGCCTGGGAGCGGAAGACATACTGCGGCGACGTCATACGATATTCGCGTTCACCATGGAACAGCCACATACCATAACTTGTCCCGAACATGACCATTCGGCAAGGGCAGCACATAGCAGAAGAGTTGCCCAGCACGAAACGTGCTCGCCACTGCATATCTTGGCAGCTTTGCTTCATTTGTCTGCAGGTAAACCAAGCTGGGTTCAGCGTTGTGCATCTGGATGACAGCGGCGGAGTGGCTTCAGTCGATGTCGAAAGCCCAAAGGCAGGGCCTGTAGCATGCGAAGTGATTTTATCGGTGCCTTCTTGACTGGCAGGTGCTTTTGCCACTCCATTCATGCATTTGGTAGCAGCTGCTGAGTGCAACAACTAGGCAAATTCGATGCAACATTTGGAAGAGGACTGCCACCGAACCGTTCTCATACTCGTCTGGCATCATGATTTGAATTGCCCCTTGTAGAGCTCTGTCACTTTGAAGACTTCTTCAAAATTGATGAGTGAAAACAGAAAAAGCGGCAATTTGGATACTTCACAGAATTATATTCAACGTAGGTATTTTAATTTTCTATTTTGAAAAATGAATAGACAAATTCAACATCGTATAAAATTAACAAGTCGATATTGAAATTGCTTTTTATAAATTCATACTTTTTGACTTAAGAGACATTTTTTTTAAATAATTGCATTCTAAAAACTATATTATTACTTTCTTTTATATATAAAATAGATAGAGAAATAAAGAAGAAGATAGAGAGAGAGAGAGAGATAGATAGATAGATAGATATATATATATATACATATATATGCAGTGATTCTGTAAAATATTGCGTGTCTTCCGGTTTCTAATTTAAGTAGGTTGCGGGTTGTCGGGTTTATATATAAAGCGGCTCTCTTATTACGAAATGTAGAAATTTCTGATATTTTGAAGGTTTTATATTATATTAGATGCGTTGTAAAATACGAAACTTGGGAGAAATTTTTCGTTTTATTTCGTTTTAATTCTCGAGAAAATTTGCACTTTGTTTTGTGATATTTTCGGTTAATTCTATTCTTTCTGGTCTTTATTGTATTGTGTTGGGGCGAGGGTGTGTGTTATGGGGAGTGTCGCGGAGTGGAGGACGAGAGAAATTATATGAAATGTATTTATCGAAAGTTAGAAATTCTTAAATAGTTTGCATTATTTTGGAATATTGATTACGATATTCGGTGATTAGATGATTGAAGGTACAATTATTTTTAATCTATTGTTGATATATATATTATCTTGATTTGAAATAGTCTATAGGTTATTATATTTTTAAATGTTATTTTAAATATTGGGGTATTTATAATAGAGATTATGATCTTTTAGATTCGATGTTTGTTGTGAAATAGTTAATATCTATGTCAAATTTAATAATTCTATATTTTTACTTTAAGATTTGAGCGACACCGCCCATTCTCATAAACGCCCAGGATCTATAGACTATTTATAAAATTATCCAAAAACTAAATAAAATTCTAAAATCTTTTTTTTGTAGGACCGAGATTTGAATTATAATTTAAGGTCTTATAATTTAAAATCTAATATCATTATTTCGGACGAAAAGACGAAAGAAATATCCATAATCTACCTTAAATCTTCGAAAAATTGCATTCTTAATTTCATTAAAATATAGATTTCATCTCGCTCCAAGATTATATATACTAACAAATAATAGATATCGATTTAGAAGCTAAAATTTTCTATTCTATAAAACTCTATTTAACAAATTTCAGAAAATATAACATAAATAAAGTCGATATAATTATATATTTAAATAATCTATTTTTTAGGAGTTTCTTTTTACGATTCTTATTATTATACTACTAATTCAATCAAACAAAATTGCACAAATAAATAAATTCAAGTTCATTAATAATTCAAAACTATTCGAAAAATTTGCTATAATCATATAAATTCATAAAATGCAATCTTTAAATCATCAATTTAATTTCTTTTATATTCATTTAAGAAATTATTTGTAAAATATCATATATTCTTTTCCATTTCTACTTCCTATCTTTCTCCTTGTGCTATCTCTTTAATAAATCAAAATTTCTCTTATATATATTATATAAAAAACCTATTATTTCCAATATATTGACACACTCTTATTCCAAAACACTATTTTTCATTCACGACCTCATATTTCTAATACGATTATTTATTTCCCCCCACACCTACTATTATTTCCCTTCAAATGCCGCCAAAGTACGACGTGTAATCAAAATCCTTCACCCAACATTTCATATCAATCCAAAAAAATTGTGCGATACCCTCGCCCACCAGACCGCGACGCCTTCTCGATCTACCCTCGGCCATCGAGACACTTCCCACGACATATTTATCCTCGCCTACGAGTAACTCCAAATCACTTACCTCGACCTCACCCGCCCCATGACATTCCCTTACGCTTAAGCCCTCATTATCCCACCGCTCCGCATGCCACGATACTCCCCTCACCCTCGCGCACCATTCCGTCAACGATGTTTCCAGCTCACGACAAATCGCCTGTGCCCGTGACTTCACTCCCCTCGAACCTCCGCTACCACTCCCAATCTAACTCCCTCGCCATTCCCTACATCTTATACTCAGTATATTCCCTCACCCACCACTCCACGATCTTCTTCTCGACATCCCGACGACCCCCACAGGCCCTCCCCAATTATTCCACGACGCTCTCCTCGATTCGCCCTCCTCCGCCATCTCGCAACGCTCCCCTCAAGTTCATTCGACACTCCCCCACGACCTATATGCCCTCGGTTCACGACACTCCCTCAGACCCACCCTCGCCCGACCCTCCCCACCACGAATCACCACGACACTCACGCCCCCGCCATGGCGCGACTCCCGTCCGCCACTCCACGACACTCCACCTCGCCCACCACTCCCGACACACAGGCCCTCGCTCGCCACTCCGCGACACTCCCCACATCGCAAAGGCCCTTGTCCACCATTTCGCGACACTCCCCTCTCGATACACCCTTACCGCACTCCGCGACACTCCCCACGGCGCACTAACCCTCGCCCGTCATTCCGCGATACTCAGCTCGACTCCGCCAACGACACGCCCACCACTCCGCGACACTCCTTTCAAACTCGCACGACATGCCCCCCAACACACATGCCCTTGCTCCCGTCCGACCCTCTCGCCCGCCCATGCCCACGACGCACACGCAGCCCCCGCCACTCTGTGTCGCTCCCCTCTCCTCAACACTCCCACAACACTGACGCGCTCGCCTGCCACTTCGCGACACTCCCCACAAAACACACGCCCTCGCCCGCCACTCCGCCCTCGCCCTTACTCCCGTGACACACCCCGACCTCGCCCGCTACTCCACGACACTGCCCACGACGCACACGCCCTCGCCCACAATTTCCGTTTCCACGTTCCGGTCTGTAACTGCGATGTCTGGTGGGTCCATGCGACAGTGCGACCGACACGGTAAGTCCCGGTAAGTCCTCAATTAAGGTACCTTACCATGTTAGAGTACATTATGCACGGCATGCGTGGCATGTACCAAGTGTCCAACCACTCACTATAGTATTGAACGTCGAGGATATCCGATGTTTGTCGAAGCGGCGTATCGAAGTGAAAGCGAATCTAGATGTCGTGGTACGAGACACTGAATTTTCCGGGAATCTGGTGCATACTTTTTCGGGATTGTACAACGCGAGACCCCGAAATCCCAGGTATTTTGTACTCCGCAGCGCGTCTGCTACGAAACCCTCGAAACTTCAAAGTTTTCTTGGTTTCGTACTAAGGATTAGCCTTTATTTAAAGGCAGACAGCCGCAGCATTGCCGACGATCCCAAAATCCCAAATCGCAGGGTTTTGTGGTTTCGTACATCAGCCGTCCTGCGAAATCCGACACCGGAGGAAGCGCGCAGAGTTTTATAGAAAAATCATATGTATGTACATTTATATTCTATCTAATTCAATAAACGAATTTTCGTCATGCTTCATATGCAGAGTTATGCAAACAATCCGATGGAGTGGTATCCAACTAAGCTGTACTTAGCATGCTATATATATATATAAACACTTCCGTATCAACACGGAAATCGATAAAACACCATTCCGAACTTACCAAACAATGTGACAAAACCCCTCTTTCCTCGAAAAAGCAGACCTCCACACGGACAACAAAACCCTTGTCGAATGCGATGTTACCAATCCTGTTTTTCGTTTATGTGGCACTTAGCGGCGGTTAGATTTATTTCGTATATTCGTGTTGGGCACGCTTATGTTTTAATGGTCAATAAAACAGGTCGAAGTGCTTGATAGTGAAAGCTTCGGGCTGGTATTGGGGTGGCCCAACAGTTGCGGTTGGATGATTGTTTTCCACGGTGTCGCCGGATGCTTGAACCTCGGAGTTCGGACTCCTTCCGATTTCCAGTCACACAAGTCGCAGCAAGCCGAGGCAAAAGCATGAAGAAGCCGCTCGAAGGGCACCGCGAAAGCCATTGGCGCCTTTGACGACTCCAAAGCCGAAAGCTGAATTGCCAAAGGGCCAAGCCAATGCTTCGTTACGGCCTGCTCGGAGGCCGGGACGGTGCTGGATGGCCTGCAATCGCGGCCGTCAAAATTCCATTGCAGGCAATCGAAGAAGCAGCGACCCAAGGCCAAGCACATGCCGACCACGAAAAGCCGGAACCGATTGAGGTTGTAGACCCCTGGCTGGGAGAAGTACCTTCGCTGAACGCAAGCAGAACCCTTATACCCTTGATAGCTCTCTTGCTGTCTCACCACAGTTGGAAGCGCACGCTTGAATTGTTTCTGAGTGGTACTCGTTGGCAGGCCTGTGAAGGGAAAGATCGCCATCTTCTTACCGACTTGAGTCTTATGTCGAATAAGATGCCGACAGGCGGATTATTTCCGACCGCTCGCAGCCCACCCACGCCAAGTCTGCAGTCGACTCCTTGGTGCTCTGTTATCTCATTATGCGGTCGCAACTTGGGAAACTGTTCGGTCGCTTCAAACATACGCAATGTGAATGGATGCAGGCTGAACTGTCGTGAATTTGAGTTCACTTCCGGAGTCAGATGCTTGCAACGTGAAAAATAAAGGTCCTCCCACACAGGTTCGACTAATCCCCTTGCTTGCACCAAGGAATCAACACCGCCGACGTCCAGGCAAAGTCGCAGTTTCAGGAAAGGATGCTCTGCAAGTAAGTATCTGCTGTGTTTCAAGCGTATTTAGGACCCGGATGTTTGCGTCTGCTCGAAACGTCTTCTTCCACAGCAGTATTGCAACTGCTACATCAAGAGCTGGGTGCCGAAGGGTCCCCCCATGCTGTTCAATATCGGAACGACAACGCCTTAGCG